AAAAAAAAAAAAAAAAAAAAACACATCTTAGTAAAACCAATACCTTCTCAGCTTCGCATCGAAGCTAAAATTAGTATCAATCAATATTATAGTTGAGCCATTTATATAAGATATTTTTCCTACATAATAAGTTTTCATATAATTATATTGCCGATATATTAACTGTAATTATAAAATAAAATAAATTAACATACATTTTATAAATATAAAATATTTTTATCATGTATTGCTGCCGACAATGGACCAACAGGTCTGAGTGCATGGGCATTATGTTCACCTCGATAATAACTACCATGTATTGTGATAGCTAACGATAGTTATCAGTGGCATAACCAAGATTTCAAATGTGAGGTGTAATATAAAAATTTATATAAATTAAAAAAAAAATTCCCAGCATAGTGGAGACGTGGCATAGTTGGATCCAGTATAGATGTAATCTGACAGTAATTAAAATCACTATCATTCGAAACGCTTCGATACAAATCTGTAGATAGTGTTTAATTCTAAGAAATTGATGGATAATTACAAAAGCAAAATTAACTCCTATTTTCTTATTTATAACATGCATTTATTACCATAACTTTAAGCTCAACTTACAAGTTTGAAATTGACATCATTAAATAGGAAAAATGAAAAAGTTAAGATTAATATGCAGTCAGCAAATTTTATAATAACTATTTACAGTAAATTTATCAGAAAAGCTCTGTTTTTTTTTGCATTTTTATCATAATAGATCACTTAAATATAAATCATAGTGATCATTTATAACTAACTTTTGGTGTTTAAAAAGTTTCTACAATTGAAATATACAGAACTGAATTAATTTTAATGATTATTTTAACTAAAAATCCAATAAAAAAAGTTGTTAAAAAGATCTACTCAATTGAGCGTATTATAAAATTTGATTATAATTTTAAAAATCAATTGTTAAATTCAGGTGAAACTGAAAATCATTTTTTTTTTTAGATTTGTTTTTTATATAGCAACATGTTACCAAAGAATTTGGTATATAATAGACTGTTAGTAACACATACAAATAGAGTTAAAAAATTAATAAATTATAAAGAAATATTTTTTACTATTGTGGTTGAATACTTTTATCATATCAAATCTAATTCGACAATAAATACATTAAAAATATTTGAAAAGAATCATCTTAATTGTTTGTATGGATAAAGCTATTTAAGGTACTTTTTATTTGATTAAGGGATTTATCATTCAATTTTTGAGGGTAATATCTTCAACTAAATATGAATTGTAATCATTTGACATATCATTGACAAAAGTAGGTTAATTGAGGGTTGGAAAAATAAATCGCAGTCACAAAAAGAAACACATAGTAAAATAATATTAACATGAATAAGTAATTTCTGCTCAAGAGGGGAGACTACAGTAATGGGATCCTTGATATTTATTGAAGTTAATGAATCTATATGAGATAAAAATCAAATGTTTTGAAAATTTTTTTCTAACTAAAAAAAAATTTCCACAGGCGGATTTGAACCTAGTACCCTAATTTTGAAAGACACAAGTGTAACAGTTTTTTTAAAATTGAAAAAGCTTAACTTGTATGAAAAAATTATTTTTTTGAATTTCCTCTGCGGACAAGTTTAGAGTCAGATTTTCAAAAAAATTATATCAATTAAAAGAAAAATATCTAAGGTTTCAAAATAAAAAAAAGTTATTTTAATTTGTTTATTTTTGAAAAAGTTATGGCAGTTTTAAGAAAAAAATGTCAAAAATTACTGATTTATAAATTTATAAAAATGATGTTTTGTTAAATTCGATGTCCATTTTTCTATAGAAGAAAAGGTGACGGTATAAATTTTTTTTTTTTAACTTATAGTATTTATTGTAAGCTTTCATTTGACATATGTTTAAAGGACGCAGTATTTCTGGAACATTTACAAAAGTTAAATTGAAAAAGTTCTACTTTTTATAAGTATATTTCAAGTTTTGAAATCCCTCTGTATAAAGGAAAATAAAAAGTATGTTAAATGATAGAGGTATATATAATGTATTTAGAAAAAAAAATTTGTGTTGATACATACATTGTTTAAAAAATTTTAGCAATTTAAAGTTGAAAATTAAAAATCAAAAATCGAAAATTTTAACACAAAAATAGCATTTTTTTTACTACGGCAGCCGTTTGCACGTAGAATATATGGTGTCGGATCAAATTTTTTTTTTCAATTTATAGTACATAACAAAAGCTTTAATTTGATATATGTTTAAAGGATTTCCGAAACATTTTCTAAAGTTAAGTATAAAAAACTAGTTTTTGTAAAAAAGTTGTAATTTTAAATCCCCCTTGTGAGCAGGTTAAGTGTTAAATTTTCAAAAAAATGATATCAAATGAATGTGAAATATCTAAGGTTTTAATATGAAAAAAAATTATGTTGATTTGTTGATTTTTGAAAAAGTTATAGAAGTTTTAAGAAAAAAAGTGAAAAAAAATGACAATATTTACTGATTTTTAATTTTATAATTTTTTTGGAGATTTCCCCCATTTGCGGAGAATGAGTGAATTTTTAAGAGAAATGTCTTCAACTAGATACGATTTTTTATCTTTTGACATATTGTTCATCAAAATCGGTCCAGTAAGAGCTGAGAAAAAGTGAATCATGGTAAAATTAATGCATTCTCAACTTCGCATCGAAGCTAAAATTATTAACTTGTAAGTTAAACTTTATTTTTACTTCACTTTAAAGATAAATATTTCGGCTAACGGGAATCATAGGAAGTGACCTATTTGGCTTCTCCACTAATAGAAAAACATAGATAATTAATGTTAAAAAGAATTATAATTAGTAAATTATTTTATAATAAGAAGTGATTATTACTTGTTCTTTTCGTTGTGATTTAGGTATATTTTCTGAAGAATTTATTGGTATAGCTGACGAATTATTAAAAATTAAAAACAATGCTAAAACAAATAAAAAATACATTTTTTTTCAGTAAAACAACTTTTATAAATTAAAATGAAGTATTTTTGCAAAAAAATGATAAGAACAACAAAAGCTTTTTAAATATGAATGCTTCGATTAACATTTAAACCAAAAACATATTTTTTGTCATACGTGTATTTATGACAGTTGTGCATTTATTTAAGAGGGGGTCCAACTTGCCTATATTTTTGTAAATAAGTTAGTTTTCTTATGATTAGCAAGTTACAAAATTTCAAAATGAAGTTAAATATAAATAGTTAAGTATAGCCGAAATACAGCATTGTGGTGTTAATAGATTATTTTAAAATAAGTATAAATTTATATCTAACAGTAATTAAAATTACTATCGTAACGTTTCGGTGGTTATTTGAAACGAGTTAATGAAAATTAAATTAATTATCCCAACTATCCAAAAAATTTAAAATGTCGCTAACCCATCTTTTTATGTAATCACTAATCCCATATATCTTTCAATAGCGACATTCGTAGATGTAATAGCAAGCTACACCAAATTTTAAATTAAAACTTTGTTACGTTGGTATCATTAAAAAATAGACCGTTACAATTTTAACTTGGTTATAGAATCCCTGGTAAATTTGCGTAAAAATCAGTGAACTATTCTGGTAATATTACTTATATTTTGAGTTGTCAAAAACATTAGAATATCTTCGGTTATTTGTTTGGTAGGTTTTATTTTAATTAAATTTATTTATATATCTTAAGATTATTTTTAAATATTGTTTATTTATTTTATAAAAAAATTATTTTATTTAACAATTATTAACTTTTTTCTTTTGATTAAGAATTTTAGATATCCTATTTTATTTTCGATGCGCATCGGAGAATTTTTAGTTTTTATTTGTTCTACTGCGTCCATAACCCATTGACAGACTCTTATAATTTTAGTAATCATTTCAAAGTAACGTGGCTGTCGATTTTTTTCTATCATTTGATACTATTGAAAATATTACTTCTACATTTGTACTGCCATAATACACATTTTTTCATATTACTGCTATATCACTTTACATCAAAATAGCAGTAGTGTTCGTCAATGTAATGATATTATATAAGTGGTTCAATTTTTAAATATCAGTATAAGTTTAAGTGTTTACTTAAGTAATAAAATTGTTTACCAGAGCTAGGAATCAAAATTATTTCGGTTTTCCGAACACAGACCAAATCTAGTAAGTTATATTTCATTGACTGTGATTGAATTCGCCATTTCAAACTTAATATATATTTTAATCAAAATAAATAATAATTTAATTATAAAAAATAGAATAAAATTCTAAATTTCAAGCAATTCAAACAAGTACACGTTGCCAAAATTCGAAACCAAGTTCGTGAAAACGGTAGTTCATTATAATATAGTAATATTGATACGACTACAACAAAAGTATGATGTATTATATAATAAGAATTGATCACATGTGGCTTATATTATTTAAAATTAAAAAATATTTAACTCAAAATGTCTTAAAAAATTACATATACGTATTTCAGAAAGAATTTTACCATTATTAGATCTTAACACATTCTGGTCTCTCCGACCGAAAAATACTATCTTATACGTAATACCCCTTTAATGTATTATTTCCGATTCAAACAATAATCTTATAACAATGAGTATTTAATTACTATGTGTAATAATAATTTAAAAAATAAAAATAATATTTTTTCACGCGTCGTTTCTTTGACTGGCCTTTTTTAGAAGTATGATTTTATTCACATCCATAGAAACTAAAATTCTATTTAATAATAAATCCTATTATTTATAGTAAATCAATTACTGAAAGAATGGCAAAAAACGATCAAGATTGTAGTGATTCAGAATTCTTTAATGAACGCGACAAAGGTCAATATTCTGTTGAAAAAGTTGTGGATAAAAAAGTAATTAATGGTAAAGTTCTTTACTGTTTAAAATGGAAAGGATATAACGATAGTGAAAATACATGGGAGCCAGAAGAAAACTTAAAATGTGAAGAACTAATTAACAAATTTGAAGCTAAACTAGCAAAAAAGAACCTGAATGGCGTATCATCAAGAAACAAAAAAAAAAAAAGTCAGCCATTATTGTTAACAAGAAGTATTAAATTAGATAAAATTTCAGGATTTGAACGTGGACTAGAACCTGAATTAATTTTATGTGCTGCTTCTAGTGACGACCAACTTTTATTTCTTATTAAATGGAAGAACCTGAATGATGCTTCGTGGGTAGATGCTAAATCTGCCAATGTAAAATGCCCTCAGACTGTAATAGATTTTTATGAAAATAGAATTTCTTGGTATGATTAATTCAGTTATTTCCTATGTTTAAAATATTATAAAGTCAATTTTTTATTTGAAAAATTAAATTTAATATGTAGAATATCATAAATTCTAATTATACTTATGTTGTATTATAAAAAATTAAAAAAATTCAATATGTCTACTTAAGTGAGAAATTGTTTTTTTTTATTATATAAACTTATTAAATCCTAAAACAGTATATTTATTTATCTAATTAGCCCTCAGTAAATCCTCGAGTGTAATAACTAATATTTAAAGTCAAATATAAGACCTAGTTTTTTAGTTTTTAAACTTAATGTTAATGGTGTGAATCCTATTCAAACTTGATTAAAAAAACTTTTATTCTTAACTTATTTAATTATAAATTAATTCAATGTATATTAATTACACTAGTTTACAAATAAAAAAAAAAATTTCTAACCTATAACATTTATAAAATAAACAAGTAATAAATTAAAATCAATTAATTATTTTTATATCAGCATAAATCAATTAAAAAAAATTTATATTGTTTAAAACAATAAAAATCATTTTTAAATTTAACTGTATGGCATTTTATTATAATGGTTTCACTATGCTTATCGCTTTTATTTCCAAGATTTAAGGAAAAACTTCTTTGTGTACATGAAGAAAATGTATTTTCATGAAATAGTCATTAAATAACATGTTCACCCCTATTTCAGATACTATTAAAAAATAGACATGTATATTTTATACAAAAAATTATATAAAGTACTGTTAACCTATTTTGAATAGTTTATTAATAAATCGTCCACTATTTAGCTATAATTTAATTTCTATAAGCTTTTAAAGTATTCTAAAAAAGAATTAACAACCAAACGAAACGAGATCTAAGCTAAAGTCTCGTCTTTTGACAAAGTTAACAAAAAAATTTAGTCGTTCATTAATTTTTTTTATATGTGGTCCTATGAAAGTACTTTCTTTGATTCTTACATCAGACAATTGTGGAAACAAAGTTTTCAAATAAGAATTAATTTCCATTTTTATTTAGAGCCTTTACAAAATTTTGAATTATGTATCTTTAATATCTTTATCTATCATTATTTATCTTTATTAATAAGAGGATTAAATTTGACATATTTTTGCCCTCAGTAAAGATTACTCGATCTGGTCAATATTTTTGTGTGTAATACTCTTGACGTGCTCGACTGTGCCATGTACACAAAATATACAAATATTTTGTGTATCCCTGTTGCAAACCATCGCAATGACTTAAAGGTCTGTGGAAATTTTCCAATTGTGTTTATTGTAATTGATAAGGGAAAGTAATATAGTAATTTATTTATGCTATTCTTTCAAATATCCTAATAAAACTATAGGAAAGAAAAATTAAGTTAATTAAAAAATCGAAATTTTATTCAATAGTAATATTGTGAGTAATTCTGCAATATTTTTTTCTATATTTTACAAAATTAAAGCACCAAATTACAAAAACTCCGATTTTGGGAAATTTTTTTTTTATTTTTTCAATTACACATAACATTTTTATTATTTATCAATCTTCCAAAATAATATATAATTTGCTTTGTTCTATATTAGAGTATAATACTTATTGAATATATTTTTGATAAATTTATTTTTATATACGTATTTTATGTAAAACTCTGAATTTTTAAAAAAATAAAAAATCAAAGGTAAATTCGTATATATCAAATGAGAAAAAAGTCACATCAAAAATTGTTAATACAAAAGTTATAGGTAATTTAATGTAAATAATTAAATGTAATAGGTAATTTTATGAAAAAAAATTTGATAATCGGTTAAACGAAATTAAAGATATTTAAAAAATAACGAAAACACTTTTTTGCGGCACACAAAAAACGCTAATTTTGCAATAACTCAAAAACTGTTCTACTTGTTATATTTTGGACTTCATTTTCGGACTCAGTAGAAGATTTTATTTTAAAAATGATTATTATATGTTATAGGTCAGAAAAATTTTTTTTATTTGTAATCTAGTGTTATTAAAATAACTGATTTTTTTTGTATAAATCATTTTTCATTTTTGTTAAACCCATTATAATAAATTTAAAAATGATTTTTATTGTATTAAACAGTATAAAATTAATTTATGCTGATATAAAAATAATTAATTGATTTTAATTTATTACTTGTTTATTTTATAATATTGCATTTGAAATAAATCAATATATTAGAATTTTGTTATATTTTTCTCAATAATTATGTCTTAATGAAACAGTGGACACCATTTTTTTTTTAATGATTATCTTAAACATTCTTTATTTTTTAAGTCATGTTTAAGTTTTAATTATTCGCGAGTAAATGTGTAATAATTAAAAGGCTTTTTCATTCATTAAATTTTGTTTTCAAAGAAAGTAATTGTTAATTTGTTATTTTACGAATCGCACGAACGTACTCGATTTTTATATTACGATCCGACTCAGTCCATTTTAAATCAAGTTCAGGCCCAGCCCGTTCCAAAACATTAAATTAATATTAAGGCACAACCTGACCTTTTGACCGGGTAAGAACGGCTTAACTGATCTTTACCTAGTAGTCAGGTGTAGACTATCTAAAATCCTCTCGACTCTACCAGGATTCAAATCTACACTCATTTGAGTAAGTATACAAATTTGGCCCTAATGTGAAAAATATAAAATGTCCCTTTTCAATTCGGTTGAAATTTAAAAAACATTAAAATTCTAGAAATTTAAAAATTAAGAGCCCTGATGTAGCTACATTTCCTGGATTCTCCTATTTACGACACTGTACGCGCTAAAGATAATTATTATTTTATAGCCAAAAAACACTATTTTAATAATTTTTATAGTGTTATTTATGCTATTGGTGCAATTTTCTCATTTGGTGAATAAAACTTTATGCCGTAATGAATCTTGCATGTAAGAGATATGAACAAATACTGTATTATTTTAAATCACACATGGAAGAAAAAATGAATGTTATTCAAAAATTGTTGAATCTTTCACATAATTTCTGATAAGCGAATCTGATACGGTCTTATTGACAAACGCGGTACAGGTAAATATTAACTAGATTTAATTAACGTCGTTTGTGTTTAAATTTAAGTACCTAATTATCAATAAAAATTTTAATATTCACTCTATGAGTCAACAGTGTTATTTTAATATCCTTTACAACAAATAGCTTTAAGTCTCTTAAAATTTAGATACAAAATGTCCTACCAGTTGTATAGAAATACCACTTTAGGTAATACTTTACAAGAAAGTATTGATGAAATGATTCAGGTATTAATAATATTTAAATAATTGCAAATTTCAATATCGTCTTTTATAGTACTAATATTTATACTTTAGTATGGCCAAATTACGCCTGCTCTTGGAATGAAAATCCTCTTACAATTTGACAAGTCAGTAAACAACTCTTTAGCTACTCGAGTAAAATCTAAAATAACATTTAAGGTATGACACATATTTTAAAAAATAATAATGATACCATAAACATTATAAAAAAAATATTTATATTTATGCATATAACTTTTTTTGTTATTTCTACTTTACTAATAATTAATAAATAGTTGATGAATTTTTATTAAATTTCTTTTATATAAATTTTAATAATATAAACTGTTATATATAAATTGTTAATTATGTTTTTTGTTATCTTAAAAACATTGGAAATTCAGTTACAAAGTATTTAAAAATTCATAACAATATGATTAATAATTTTGATTCCCTTAAACCAATTTCCTTAAAATATACATTGTAAAATTTTTATACACTTAAAATCTCTATGTGTGTAAAAAATATAGATGGTTAGGTATTTCTATTTTAATAATTTACACTTATTTAAATCATTTTTAGGCTGGAAAAATGGACACATATCGTTTTTGTGACAATGTATGGACTTTTATGTTGAGTGATGTTGAATTTAAAGAAACACAAGAAATGACAAAAGTAGAGAAACTTAAAATTGTTGCATGTGATGGAAAAAGTAATGTTATCTTAATAATTAAAATAACATTATAGTGTATTAAATAATTTTAATACTATTTGTTTAATTTTTCAGGTGTGAATGATGATACCTCAAAAAAAAATTAAAAGATTTAACTTTTAGAGATATTTCTATTAAAATAACTTTAATTAATTTTCATCTTATTTTTTCTATTGTGTGCAATTGTATAGTACTTAAATTGCATTGCTTTATATAACAGTACATTTAATATAGCTGTAACGATATGATAATAATGATAATACTGTGAATATAATTTATGTAATATTATGTATTATTTATTTAATTGTATAAAACTAGTTTTAAAAAATATTTTAAGAATTCATTATTAAAAATTATTATGACTATGATTCAAGAAAACATTTAATTAAGTGGTGTGTTGAACCTTCAAACATAAACAGTAGAAACTTGAATCATTGTCAGGATTGAGACTATAAATGTTAATAGATGTATCCAAATATTGTATCCATAGCAAAACTAGGTAACTCGATTTTTTGAAATTATTTATGAGGAAGAGATGAAAACCCTTTTGTTTTTTAAGTAGTAAATATTAAAAATAGGTTTTTTCATACTTCATAATCTCAATAAAAAAATACATATTTTATTTCAAAAATGTTTAAAATGTGAGTCAATATTATGAATATCATTCTCAAAAAAAAAACTTGAGTCTCACAATTTTGTCATGGAGATATCAATATTTTCATGGATTTTTAATTGCAAAGTACATGTTGTATAGGATACATTAAATAATAATAAATATAGAACATAAAAGTAATAAGTCATTTGTTTTTTTAAGACATAAAATTTTTTCCTCACTATTCACAGTCTATAAATAAAGTAACTACAAATAAAGCAATTAACTAAAGGAGTTCTCAGAGGAAGGATAGCCAGTCTGCGATGAAAATAAACTTATTTAAACCAATTTTTTGTGCTGATTTTTAATCTGCAATTACATTTTTTCTATCGTTTCTAGTTTTTTAAATAATTAATAATTGATTAATGACATATAAAAAAATCATTTTTTTAAAATTATTATTAGTTTTGTTTTTTTATATATTAAAAAAATCCGTGCGAAATTTTCATTCAAATCTGTTTAACTTATTTTTTGGTCTTTTTAAGTTGATTTTTACAAAAGTTTTTAATAAAAAAAAAGTTAAATTATGTATCATAACTATACTCTGGCTCATCTTATAAGCTTGAAATTGACATCATTAAATAGGAGGATTTAAAAAAGTTATTGTTTAGATTGTCATGTGATCAAGAGCTTGTAATGTTATCATTACATTAAGAGAAAATCTCAAAATTTTGTTAAAATCACAATTTTTAGCTTCGATGCGAATTTAATAGCAAAATCTTATTTTTCAGACGGTAAACAAAATCTTTTACAATTACAAAATGTATTTTAATTCATTTTTCTGAATTTTTTTATTATTAATATTACAATACATTTAATTATTATAATACGAATATATACAATTATTAGTTCGTAGTAGCACATCGATTACCGTTAATCAATGTGTCCATATTACGACGCGATGTATTTATTACATGTTTTGTTCTTATTTCTTTCCGTATCATCGAGTATTGGAAATCCTCAATAGATTATTTATTTTCAAAACTTAATTGCACAGTCGGTGGCAGATCCACATAATTTCATTCCACAATATTATATCGAATATAACATTGCATTTACGATAAATGATACTTTGAAAAAAAAACAAGTCCAATAAAAATTATAACGTTACAAGTCGCGTGTGGGTAAATATGACCCATTTTAATTTTGATGGATATTTTAAGTCATACATTTTTTTTAACTACGGCAGCCGTTTAAATGTAGAAGATAAAGTGTCGGGACAAATTTTTTATTTTATAGTACATAAAATAAGCTTTAATTTGATATATGTTTGAAGGACGCAGTATTTCTGGAACATTTTCAAAAATTAAGTTGAAAAAGTTAATTTTTGTAAAAAAGTTGCTATTTTAAATCCCCCTCAATGAGCAGGTTAAGTGTTAGATTTTCAAAAAAATGATATCAAATGAAAGGGAAATATCTAAAGTTTTAGTATAAAAAAAAATTATGTTGATTTTTGAAAAAGTTATGGCACTTTTAAGTAAAAAAAAGTGAAAAAATTTCGAAAATTAGCGATTTTTAAATTTGTAATTTTTTTGGAGGTTTCCCCCATTTACGGGGAACGAGGGGATTTTTTTCAATTTTTAAGGGTAATGTCTTCAACTAGATACGATTTGTGATCTTTTGACGTATTTTTGAAAGAAATCGGTCCAGTGAGAGCTGAGAAAAAGTGGCAACAGACATAAAAAAAAAAAAAAAAACATCATAGTAAAATTAATACCTTCTCCGCTTCGCATCGAAGCTAAAATAATTGTGTACCTGCTAAATTATTTGGTCAATTTTTGAAAACGATGAAGTCATCTGAACTATAACAATTTTTTTATTATTGTAAATTTTGATACAAATAAAATATATTTGTTTCATTTCCAGGGTTTTTTTTTAATTTTCTTGCTATATTTGTCAGTAATTCCAGTAGCTAATGGTTTTGATATTTTGCTATTAATTGATTTACTTTGAAGAAATTTTTGTTTAAGTTGATGTGGTTTAGTTATTTTAACTTTAATCTTTTCTAAATTTTTGAATTTGGAATTCTTATTGATCTTTATTTTTTGTTCATCGAAAATTGTTGGCATGCATTTTAATTCATGAACATCTATATTTGATGGTACATTAACATCTGCGTTAAACTGTCTCAAGTTCAATGTTTGGTCTTGAATTACAAATGTATTTTCAATTTTATAGTCAATATTATTAAATTGTGTCATTTTTACATTAGACATGTTCATATCTCCAAAAGGGAATCCTGTGTAACTTACTACTTCCTGGAAAGATTTTAAGTTTTCCCATCTGTCATTCAAATTTTGATCTTCAAAAAGAGGCAAGTTCCATTTATCGGCAGAACTATTTTCTAACGGAACGCTATCTCTTTGTGTGGTTTGTACCAAGTAAAGGTTTGTGTTTATAGAACTGGAATCTTCTATGATGTATTCACAGTCTTTAGGTGAAACCTTTTCAATTTTCTCTTGTGACCTATTTAGGAATTTTGAGTATGATTCTTCTTTAACAATTTCAGTAATTTTGTGTGAAGGTTCCCCAGATTCAGTATTAAAAACTAGTTGTATCTGTTTGGGTTTGTTTTGTTTCTCAAGCACTAAAAATACCATAGTCTCAATTCCAAAAGTAGCTTCTCTGCAGTTGTGCTTAATTTTAAAATTTCGTTTGTACAGAAAGTGTCGAAAACTTTGTACCTGGTATATGTAAATTTTAAGATTATGAATTTTAGTTGAAAATTACAAATTTAATTATTGATTAAGTGATTATTTAAGGTAGGAATTAAAATTTTTGCAACTTTAAAATTATAACCTATATTAGTTAAGATTACCTAAACCTCTATTCCTTTATAGAGGCATAGATATCAGTAGTTAATTTCAGAATAAAAATAATTAGGTGTTAATAATATTATTGAGTGAACATATTTTTCAGATTCATCTCAAAGTAAAATTTTAGCTCCTCACAAAATAAAATGCTTATTATATTCTTTGTTAGCCATTATATTATTCTATAATATTTTCATTAAGTAACGATTAAATAAAAATTGTAGGGTTAATTTATTAAACATGAAACATTTTTATTTTTTATTTAATTACTTGTTCAACACTAATATTCAAAACTTTAGTAAAAACAATCCATTTTGAAACACTATCAATACCATTCATTTTTTTCATTTTGCCCCAATATGTAAAGTATTCGCAAGGTCTTGTTTCCACTATTTGATCAAGCTGAAAACTTAGTATTTTTGATGTTTGACGAAAATTTCGTACATTTTCTAAAAAAGGAACTATGATTTGGATACCTTCGTTCCTTTTTGGTGTAGTCTATATTTGTATATAATTAATTACTTATAGAGAATAGTCAACTTATTTTTGTAGTGTATATGTTTATGTGTATTTGTAGTTATTTATTTATTGTGTTGCGTGTGTTGTAGTAGTTAGTGATAAATCAGTAGTCGTTATCTACTAAAATAAATACTATACCCTTAAGAAATATATATGAAAAATATTTTTTTATTTTTAGTATATTTTACTATGATTTTTATATTATTATGTTAATAAAATCATTATTAAGATTAAAAATTGCTTTCTTTTATTTATTTTTATTAAACAAATTAGCTAAATTTATATAACCTACTAACTGATGCACAAAAAAACGCGAATTTACCATAGTAAATTAAAGAAAGTAAAAACTATTAAGTAAACTGTCAATGGTGAAATCTGTGTTAACTATGAAAGAAATAAAAGTTACAGTTAGTTATTCTATTTATTTATTTGCAGTTTTTATAGGAATACTTAAAATGATTGATTAAGTCTTTTTTTACTTATAAAAAATGTCAGACATAAAAAATATATTAGATAATCACCATTGTCATAGGCGTAGAGTAGTCTAATTTTTAGGTGAGATACATTTAATTTTGCCACCTTCAAAAAATAATTTTTATACAACAATGTATATAATTTTGATACATTTATTGAGAGGGCTAAGCCCCCTAATCCTACGCCTTTATTATAAAGTCATCTAATGTAATAACATTTATCAAATATATTAGGCTGAAGTTTTGTAGCATTACAATTGTTTACATTTCAAGAAAACACTTTAATGTTTATTTAAAAACATTTATAAAACTTGTTCGTAAAAAGTATCTACCTCGAATATATAAGCTAAAGTAATTATGCCATCCGGTAGTAATTCTGCATCAAACAACGATTGACATGATCCTTTATAAAATATCAAGTGCATTTCCATTGAATAGCTAAAGAAAAAAAGTCAATCACATGTATGTTTTAATTTATTTATTATAAATATTCAATTATTTTGATAGCATGCCACTTAAATATTATTAATAGTACTAAAACGGTCATGCTACACTAATACTTAAAATTCTACTATTTTTAAATATTACACATAATATTAATTTATGTATATAATCTATATAATGTTGTTAAATTCTCTAAAAATGCTCAAAAAGCGCCTAGAAGTGGCGTATTTTAATATTTAAAATATAACGTCATTAACTTATTAACGTCATATCTGACTAAAAAAAAAATTAAAATTTTTGAAGTATATGTAATGAAAATATATCCAACGAAAGAATAAATACCATTTATAGAATATTAACATTTTGTTGTGATATACACATTTATTTAAAAATAAATAAAATATTGCGCATTACATTTATGAGTTGAAAAGTAGTTTCTTTTACTAAAAAATTTTTCCAAACAATAACTATACCTTATAGTTTACTAATAGCCTACAACTACATAGTTAATTTACTTGCCGTTGACCATTGATAATATGTTCGCTGCCTGAGGTATCATCTTGGCCCCAATGAAAGTGTAGATGTGAAAAGTAATATTTATCATTTAGGCTAGACCCCAAGATATACGGCCGTGAGTTTTTCCAAATTCCACTTAAAATAACTATAAATAAATCGGATTTTTTTTGTAAAAGTTTCGAGTAGTGTTATCTATAAAAAACTAATGAATTAATTCAGTAATTTAAATATTTACAATTTCTACACTTATTTCGATAGAATTTATATTAAAATAAATAAAAGACGTAAAATAACTTTACGTCTTTAGTTTACATAAAAATTTTATTTATAAAATTATATGTTAATTAATGTTTTAACATTAATTTTTTAATATGATAATTATTTTAATAAAAAAATTCTTTATTAAAAATTAAATATTTTAAAATAGATCATTTATCATTCGAGATCAACTAATAGAAAATTAAATTTAAACTAAATTCCTAAAAAAATGTTCTATTACTTAAAATTCAAAAATCTTAACCAGTATTCGAGGCATACCTGTTCGACCACAGTTATGTAAATTCATTGAGTGTGGAGTAACTTCAAAATTGTAAAATTGTAATGTTGGTAAATTAAGAATAGACATTTTTTTTGTGTTTACTGCCAAAGGTGAATAAGGCAGGTGTTCATTACCTGGATGTTGTAAGATTTCCAGTGACATAACTAAAATATTAAGACTTTAAACTAGCAAAGTAAGAAGTTTTCTTGAAAAATGTTGAATTGAAATTTGAATATTCTTTTAATTGTGTGGAGTGAAAAAGGCATCACATAATATGATCGCAGGCGTTGTAATTTATGTTAACACCTACAACGTGTGCGATCTACAATTTTTAATTTTGCATTTGACATGTCCCCATTTAATTAAGCTTAACAAAACATTCAGGTCTGTTTTTCAATGCCTAGGTTAGATATTGAATACAATGTCGCTTTCCCAGTAATTATTATCCACAATTGTTCTAAAACATTTAATTCCTCATAAATATTATGAAGAATATGTTTTATTCCATAGTAAAACACTTCTGGGAACGTTAAGTAATCAAAACACTTTATTTACGCCTTTAGTGTTGTAATAAAAAAAGTTGTATCCTACCTCTATCAAATAAGTGACACGAAAAATTATTCATTAGTTAGTAAATCATTTAAATAAATAACATTCATATACTATGTACAATTTAGGTGTAAGTTAAATTTATNAAATTATTCATTAGTTATTAAATCATTTAAATAAATAACATTCATATACTATGTACAATTTAGGTGTAAGTTAAATTTATAAAACTAATGAATATTGATAAAAAAAATATAATAAACTTGTCAAACAATTGTAAACATTATTGTTATATATGCAGTTACCTTAGAAATATGATTATTTTTTTAAACATTGTAATTTATTATTAAATTCACCATTAGTAACTTGCATTATTCAATAAGAAATAATTCTTTAAATGTATTATAAAGTAAGAAATATAAATAGACAAAGTTAATATATATTAACTCTATTCGAATAGGAAATCCAATTTATGGCAAAATAAACAATATAATAGTAATCATATATAATATAATAATATTATAATATATAATCATTAGTACAAAATATTTGGTTTGAGATGTATATATAAACTTAATAATTTTTGTTATATGAAAAATATTTTATAGAAAAAAAATAAAATACAAGGTGATAGATTAATTATAACTCATATAATATCTAAAACATACTATAATTTTTTTTTTTGAAAAGTTAATAGTATCCTATGTTTTAAAGCTTCTAAAAGAAATTTAAATTCTATTCCCTTTAGAAAATAGTATCAACTTATATTTTTGAAAGAAAACATAATTATTTAACTAGCTTAAAAATAAGAAAATTTCACTAAGAAAAGATTCGGTTAACTTTCGAACCTGCATTTTAAAAGTAATTAACAATTTACTATTCTTCTCATCCTATTATATAAGTGCTAATTTCTTTTAAAATACTAGTTCAAAAGTTGTTATTGTCTAGTCATTTACTTTTTTTTTAACTAAGTAAACATATATGTTACCTTTTAAAACACAATTTCAAATTGGAGAGACGGAGATAGTACCAAATATAAAATATAAAATATAGGATACTAAAAACTCCAGAAATAAATTAGGCAAATTTAACCAATTACCTTGTATACATATTTCTTTTATAATTTAAGATTAAAAACCAATATTACATTTGAAAAGGAATACAACAAATTAATTTAATCTGAAAAGCTTCTAGATTGCATCTAGCTTTCTAGATGCCAAACTATTTAAAATAAACAATAATAATACATATTATTTTATAAAATTTGGAAGGCAGGAATCCAATTATAATACATCTTAGTAAAATTTTTAGATAAAACTAAGTAGTATGTTGAACAATTTAATATTAAAATAATAACAAAATATTATGTATTCATACTATAAATTGGTACAATAAATTATAGAAAATATTTCAATAGCAATAGAAAGAATGGTTAAAAAAAGTTGGAATCTTTTCAACTATAAATAATGGATTACTTAAATGGTTGATAACCAAAAAAAAGTACTATACATACTGAGCTAGGTAAAAATAAATGATAAATATTAAACAGTTTTTAATTCTTCGTCACAAAGGACAGTGTTAATGCAGTTTTATAGGCTTACAAATTTTAACATCATCAATTTCATTGACATTTAGAGTCAAGGTCTGGGTTAATGATAAAGAGTGTTCATTAGATAAATGCAGAAGAGCAACAAAAACAAGTGGTACACTAAGGTCTTCTCTTTTGAAAAAATTTAATTTTATTAATAAATCTTTAAAGGACAATGCACTACTCCAATTGCTGGAAGAACTTGATATCTAAAACATAAAATAAATTTGATCAATTAAAATGAATAAATTACATAACATCTAGTGGTATAATAAGAAAGACTTAAAAAGTTTTGCCCCTCTCATTACTTTGCTAAAATTTTATTATAAGTAAAAAATTATTTCTATATTAGTCCTCCCCCATAAAAAAATTATAGGACCACCACTATAATTATCTTTAGTATTAAGATAGTAAAAATAACTTACAATACATTCCTTATTAATAATTTCTATTATTTGCTTTTTAAGAGTACCAATGTCTAAATGAACTTCCGGTTTACAAAAATCAACTTCTGAACAAAGCTAAAATTACAAAAAATTTATTATTAACAGTACATAAAACTTACTATAAATACTGTATAAATTATAGCATAATTTAAGATTGTATAATTTTTCAATATTTTTAAGTTAATTAAATTGAAAAGGCTCAATATTTATAAAATACTTGATGTAAAGTATTAAATAAAAAATATTTGCTAAAAATGAATGCATTAGCACTGCTAAGGCATAATGTTAAAATATAAAATCCTATTAGATAAAACATTTTAATCATACACAATATTTTTTATACATAAAATTCACAATGAAAGATTATGATTATCTTCCTCTTTAGTTTCAATATCTGGAGATTGATTAGGAGCTATCTTTCATTTTTCTTTTAATTTTTAAGTATGAGTCACACCCTTGCTCTTTTATTATTTGCTGTATACATAGTAATTCCTTAATTAAATCTTAGAAAATATTAGAGTTAATCTTTTATTATTTAACAATAATAGTTTTTTGTTGAGCAATTTTACCCAAAAAATCAATTTTCTACCATCATTCAACTTTTGATGTTCAAATGGAATCAATCTTGTATATTTTAAATAATATTCATTTGTAGTTTTTACCTTCAATACTATTTTTTAGAATCAATTTCAACAATTCTTTATGTTGTAATATTTAGTCTTTACATTCATTTCATCTTCTAACTATACTTTTAAATACAAGACTTCCTTATGATATTCATTCCTGTACTTCATTATTGGTTATTTTATCCATTCAACTTATCTTTAACATTTTCTAATAATATCACATTTCAAACAATTCTAATTTTTCTCATTCCTTTGTACACTGTCCAAATTTTGCAATGTAAAAGGTAATACTTCTTCAATATGTTTTGTCGTGTTTAAGCTTGATTATTAATGTGAGCAGCGTTTTCTTATTATTGAAATCTATTTTAACTTAGAAAATATGATTTATAATTCTCCCATTACTGCTAATTGCACTACTTAGATATGACAATTCATTTAGTTGTTTTACAATTTTATATCCTATAATTTTTACTTGTATTTTAATTTTATTATCTTTTTCACATACAAGTACTTCAATTTTCATATGTAGATCTTTATTTAATGTTTAATTCATGGTTCTGATTAGTTTATTTTTTTCAATTATTAATGTTATGTTATCTGTAATGTATAACATAATTATTTTCTATCTGCTTATCTTTGTACCTAGGCTAGTATTCACATTTATTCACTTATTGCTTCTTTTATATTATCTCATACTCCAAGAACTGCTATTCAATCTTTGTACACTTTGCACAAGTTATTTATAAATACGCTTTACTTCTAATTTCTTCATCATGTCAAACATTACCATCTGGTTCCCATAACCAAATGCTTTCTTAATGTTTACAAAAACTATAAATGTTGGTTTATCTTTCTTCATTATTGTCCTAAATGTTGGTACTGTTTTTCCAATATCCATATTATTTCTGAATTCAAATTGATTGTTCAATAATGTTTATTATATCTTTGATTCAATTTGTTGGAATATAATTTTTCACTGCTAATTTCTTTAGAATGGTGACATTTAAGCGGTTTAAATAGTTTTCAGGAAGTTTTCCTAGTTTATATATATATTTTTGTGATTTGTTTGAGTAATTTTTATTTTTTATTTTTTTTAAAGCTCCCATTTGATGTCATCAATGACTGCTATCTCTTCATAAATTTTATTCGTATTGAGTATTTTTCTTATGTATAAGTTTTTAAAGTATTACTTTGATTTTTTAGCTAATACTTATTGTTTGTATATAATCATGTCATATCTGTCTTCTATTCCTCTAATTCTAGACTAAAATATAGAATTATGAAATGGTATTGACGAGAATGTAAAACACAGAATTCAATTCAGATGGGTGAAATGGAAAGAAGCGTTTGGTGTGTTATGTGATAAGAGAATCTAACGAACCTGAAAAGTAAGTTCTATAAGACTGTAGTGAGACAAGCTATGATTCATGGTTCAGAGTGTTGGGCATTTGACAAAAGAATAGAGCAGAAAATGAGTGTATCATAAATGAGAATCCTTAGATGGATGAGTGGAGTGATTAGAGAAGATAGGATAAGGAACAAACATATAAAAGAAAGTATTAGTGTAGTGTCAATCGTGGATAAGATGAGAGAAAATAAACTAAGATGGTTTGGTCATGTTATGAGCAGAGAGGAATCTGAAGCTGTAAAAACAGTTATGGAAATGAATGTTAAAAAAAGTAGAACTAATGGAAAACCAAAAAGAGGTGGAGGTATATTATTGAATGCAATATGAGGACATCTGATGTGAGCGTAGATGAAGTAGAAGATTAGGTCAAGTGGAATTATACGATAAGAGTGGCCGATCCCAAGTAGTTGACATAAAGGCCAGAAAAAAGAACAATCTAGAATTACAGAAATAGTAATATTAATACATTTTTACAATTTTATATGCTTATTATCTTTTTCCTGACACCATAAAAATTTCTATTTCATCATATCTTTCTTCCATATAATTTTCTTTTGCTTATCTTGATTTTTTATTTAATTCATTTTTTATTGGATAGTACTTTTTTTGTCCTATATTATTCAGTCTTTCATACTTTCTCCTTTCCTTAATCATGTTAAGGATTTCTATTGTAATTCATTCCTCTCTTATCAAGATTTTTTTATCTAAGGTTTTTGTTGTAGTTTTTATAGTTACTTGTTTTACCATCTATCACTTATACTTCATAGCTGGGATGAGATTAAACATTTTTTTTTTCATTTAATGTCTAATGTTTTATAATGTTATCTTATAATTAAGTTTAAGTTATTAAATTTTTTTTAATGTTTAAACGTGTCTGCATTTTTATGTTAATTTTTTTTAACAGTTTTCTTTAAGGGTAAATTCTACTTTTACTTTCATAGACTTTTTTAAAAATAGAATTTGAAAATAGTTTATTTTAATTTTAATAAGAATTGTTTTTATTATAAATTGTATTAAGTTTCACAATATTTGGCGGTTGATATCACATGTTTTTTGTTTTTTTGGTTACGTTATGTAAATTTTTTTTGTTTTAAACATTATAAATATAGCGCTACTATTCATAACATTTTCTTACTCTAATCTATGATTTAATTATCAACAGACTTTCTATTTGTTTGCTCTATTGTTTTTTGTTTTCTAAGGTTCAAATTTCTAATTTGCCATAATATCATTCTTTTCTTAACTTATATTTTCTTAAATTTGGGGATTCTATTTTATCATAATTAAATTATGGTTACTCTTGGGTAGTTTTTGTTATATTTTGTTTGGTTAATGTTTATCACAACTTACTAATAATCAGGGGTAAACTATTTAAAAAGAATATCAGTTTAAATATTGTTAAAAAACTAAAGATACCTATAAAATCAATAAATAATATTTATTATTCATCAAAGTTATTAAGTAGAATAAAAATATTAGCAGATGAGGTGAATGTTTGGTAAATGCATAAACTATAAATAAATAAATATATATGATACTTAACAATAAAAGATATAAAATAATAATGAATACTGAATAAATATTTACCTTATTGGTAGTATAAGAATCATCACATTTACTATTTATATCTTGAATTTGTGACATTATGGGATCATCATTGATAATGCCACAATGACTGTCATTTAATGTATTATCATAAATTGACTCATGCAGTTCATTGTTGTTCTAAACATAAAAAAATTAGTTGAATATTAGATTGGTCCTTAAAATAAAAATTTTCAAAATTCGATTTATGCGCACCAAAAAATTGTTCTAATATGTGTAAAAATAAGCTGTGCAAAATTTGGTCTCGATAGGTTGAGGTTAACACGTACCGCAAGAGTTTGAAAATTCGATCAAAAGAGTAGTTTTTTAGTTATTACACTTTATCTCAAAATATATGATTTTTATGTATAAGTTTATAAGAAAGAAATTATACATGTAATTATTTACATAAAAAAGATTATTAGCAAAAAACTGTTAAGTCAAGTATATACCTCCTAAAAGTCATAAGTTCCATAAATATGTTTATCAATAAAATTCATATATTTCGGCAATTTAAGTATATATGATGAACCGTTCAAGTTATAAAAAAATTTTTCATTTAAAAATTGTTTGAAATTTAAGTTCCAATAAGAATTGTAGAAAAAAAAATGTTTAATGTGTTTTCTGGTGAGGTAATATAGACAACATATAAATAATAATCATTTTTCTATGATAATTATAAAAATTGACGATTTTTTTTTTCAAACTCAAATAAAATAAGTAAACAATTAATAAAATGCTAAAAAAAATTTGATAAATGATCTCTATGCTCATAAAAAATAATAAAATTAAATAATATTAAAAATAAAGACAATATAAAAAAAAATTTGTTTTTGATTGGATTATTGATTTTTATTCATCAATGTATGTTTAGAACTAACTCTATATTGTGATTTATAATCATTAATGACTTGTAGTAGAAACTGTTTTTGTTCTTCATCATGAGTTTTATGCCTCTTACTGCTATATTGTTTGTCACAAGATTAGATAAAACATTCAAACCATTTTGAAAGATTTTCAGCCCAGCTATGAGGATGAGTTTCCAAAAAATTAATTGGTATATTAAACTTTTTAACGATTCTGGTGATACAAAGTCATCAAGTTCTTTTTTTAAAAATAGTTTAGTATCATTTAGGTTTATTGTAATTTTTTTTATGGCGTTTTTATCTTGTTTTTGTGATGTCTCTCTTGATGCTTCAACCATTTTTAGTTTAAAATCTGTCCGTACTCTGTCATCAAAAAATGCTAAAGCTACATTTTCAGGTGACAAATACCATAAATGCCCTGAAAATTTCTGTGTTGCAGCTTTAGATATAAAAGAATCAGGATAATTAATTAAAACTTTTAAGAAACAAATCATTAAATGGTAATTATATGCAAATAGATTCCTCAAACCAAGCCTCGACATAAAGTTTTACCAAAAATACACAAATGTCACAAAATGCATGTTCTTCTCGTATTTTTAGCTTTAACTGTTTTCTGAACATGTATATTTTTAGCGATTAAACTTTAAAATTTAATAAAGCTTCTGACATCCATCTAGCGTGATGAAAAGTACCAGAGAAATGAAATTTTACACCATTAACACATAACTCGAAAAATTCTTTGGAGTCATTTCTATATTGTTGATGAATCATTTATGTTTCCAAACAAAATTTTATTACATTTGTTTTAGTGTGTTCAACTGCATTTTTTATAATTATAACATTGATACCAATATCAAAATTCAACAAATCTAGATTAGTCCAACTTTCTTTAAATTTTAAAAATTGGTATATTTGGACCAGTAGTACATAAATTAAGTTTAACCTCAAAAATATTTTTTAGTACTAATTCCGAAATATGTCTACGACATGGTAAATACAACACATTACTTTCTAGTTGTTCAAGCAACATACATTTCTCATTTAAGCGACCTGTATTAGACGTTGTTGTGTCACAACACAAGGTCTGTATTTTATCTTTTACACACCAAACTTGTAATAAATCAAAAATTGCCTGATTTTGACTTACTCCTTTAAATGATACCAAGATTGGCAATCGATCAACTTTAGCTCTATTCGTAATGTCTGGAAATAGTTTTCCATCCCAATGCAAGACAAGACTATTTTTATCCAAAAATTTGAAATAATTTTTTATTTCATTTGTCTTTCTCTTTCTAAAAATTAATCTTTCCCGTATAGTTGATTATTAACATTGATACGTTATTACCTAATACTTCAGCAGTAGAAATAATTAAATACACAGCATCACAGTCAGATATCTTGCATCAATCTAATGCAGAAAATAATTTAGGAGTCATAAAAGCTACAGAACCTCGTGTTTTTGAAGAATATGATGAACCAGACAATCATCTTCTGTTTCATATTCTGAGGAACTAAACAAATAAAACTCAACATTATCTAAAAAAAAATAATAATTTAAAATTAAACAATTGTACTTATTTTTAAAGAAAATTAAGTGAATTCCATTTCTGATAGTGAACGTTTATTTTGTTCTTTTTTTTTAACTCTTCATTTATTTTCCTTTTGAGACAACTTCTTGTCGATGCCTAACATGCTACCAGGTCTACCTTTCTGTCTTAGTAACAACAAAAACGTTTTATCTTCCTTAACTTTCATCATATCTAATGCATTAGAATGAGAAATATCAAATAAATTGTTTAACTGTGTCCGTATATTGACTGATTTTATTTAAATGATTATTGGTAGTTCTTTTTGACAATTTTTGAAGTTCTCTTAAATTTGAGTACAATTTTTCAAGTAATTACACACAGCAATGTTCTTCCCTAATCGGAATTCTAGCTTTATGCCAGAATAATGAAACTTCAGCAATAACTAATTTAGCACTTTCATGCAAATTTAACTTATCATGTTTTGTACAAGTTGTAAAATAAAACACTTAAAGCGTGTTTATTCGACAGCAATTTACTGCCTACAATTTTATTTGTAATATTATCTATTAAATAAATTTCATCTTGTTTACATAAATTTATGCTTCACGAAGCATTTATAACAATTTATTTCATTAAAATAAAAATTTTTTTAAATAATTTAATGTAGGTATTAAAATTTCCAAAAAACTAAAAATTGATACAATAAATAAAATAAACACAAAATACAGCATACTATTACTACAACACTATTTTAACTTAACAGTGTCATCAATACATTGTCATATTACAACGAAATTAATAATACAATGAAATTACGATTACTGGTAAGAGTACTTTTTATTATTATATTATGGTATATTACACATTTCATTATTTACCTATTGCCAATTTTAAATAGATTGAAAAATTTTTTATGCATTAAGATCATTTTCAAATACTTTTTTTTAGTGTTTATATGGATTAGCAAGTATATGTTATTATATTATGGAAAAAATTGTCAATTTTTTTAATTATCATAGAAATATGATTATTACTTATAAGTTGTTTTCATTAACTCGTCAGAAAACACGTTAAAAATTTTTTTTTCTACGATTCTTATAAAAAAATAAATTTTTAATAACTATTAAATGAAAATTTATTTATTTTAAAATTCTTACTTCATGATGTTGAGAATAGTCTTTAACTTCAATTTTGTTTTTTTTATTCTTTTCTCTTAACCACCAATTTGGCCGAATTTCAGTGTGTTCTAAAAACATAAATCTAAAAAAATAATGTATTAATACAACGTATATAATAAAAGTAATATTACATGTATTAATTTATTTAAAGTAAAAATTTATCAGAATAATGAAATATTACAAAATTATAAAAAAATCATCAACTTAAAGTGGATGCATTTTTGACATAAAATATTGCTGATATTATAAAATAACTTACTTGTGTTTTATATCAATAATTATTCCTTTAGTATCACCTAAATTATCTAAAGCGTCCCATTTTTGAAGTATTCTTGGGAGTAATGTTTCTTTACTTTGAGTATTATTTTCTAATGTTTCAGCTATTTTATCAATTTTTGTCCAATTTAATTTTATTGTTTCATTTAATATTTTGTTACGACGTCTAGGTGTTTTTGGTTGTTTGCATATTTGACTTATATCATCAATATCTATTTCATTACTTGGATCCTTAATATTTTTACGATCATCTAGGCATTTTTATGAATTTTTTTTTTTAATTTTCACAGATATATACATTTAAGGTGATGCAATAAGAGTTACTAATGAAAAAAATCTATCATCATCTAAATTTTTTTATTTATATACTAGGAAACTCGTGTGATATTTCAAAAACATTTAAAATGGTCATACTACGACTCAATTGAATGTTATGATGATTGATTAGATATTGAATAACATTAAAGGATTTTATTTAAATATATAATTTTACTAAATTACATGGTTTGCAAGATTTGAGTGCTTTGACCATAGCATGTGTTTTCCAAGCTTTTGGACCTTTCCATTTTGCTAATAACTGAGGGTTAAAAAAGCTATAATCTCTTTCAATATCATCCATACAATTTAAAAGTCTACTAATTTCTGGCTCATTATTTTCTAGTGGACTGATATCTGTATACAAAATATAATTATTTGTCACATATTGATTGAAATTTAAAATTTTTATTAATTTTTACCCATTGCATTACAGTCATCATAAGTACATGTAGAGTTTGGTAATAATACATCTGTTTGCATGTTTTGATATGGGTGATCATTTGGATCAAACCGATTTTCTATACCTTCTAATTGAGGCACTAATTCTCCAATATTTATCTTATCTTCTTCTGATAAAAAACCACAAAAGTTAGGGCAAATAGTTTGTTTTGAAAACATACCTTGGATATAAGCTAAAAATAATAATAATAAAAGAAAATTAACCCTATATCTACCCAACCTTATAGTAATAAATTAATAATACATTTTTTTATTTTTTATGTAGTTGTAGATAATAACACTTTATTTTTAATTTAATTATATGTTAAGCATGTAAAAAAACTTGTGTTATAAAAAAAAATACTACAATTTACATTCTAACTCTACTTATCTAAAAAAATATATGGTAATTAATAAAACACTAATCACTCAATTTCTCTTAAAATCATAATTATGTTAAGAACATTATATTGGTTTCAAATATTTTTAATTTTATCAGTTATCAATTATTTTTTTAATTCATTTCTTATACCTTAGTTATATCCATTTGAAAAATAGGTTAGGTATGGAAATGATAATATATCTCATTATACATTACTTGGCCACATCTCTTTTCTCGCCTAAGTATAAAAATGTTAATAATTTCCGAAGTACTGGTCAAAAAGTTGATATCAACTAGTTATTTTCTTAATTAGATAATTTTTTATTTTATAAGCTAATTAAATATACAGAGTAATTAAAATAACAAATAATTATTATTGTAAGTTAATTCTTTTTGGAATTTTTTATATTTCGATTTACTAATAAAGTATATTATTAAAATTCATTCTTTATACATTATATGGTATCAGCTTTATTTTTTTAAATAACAACATACATATTTAAATAGCTTATAAAATAAAAAATGATCTATTTTATATAAATAGGTTAATAGCAATTTTTAATCTGTTATTTTGGGAGTCATGAATATTTTAAAATATTGAGTGAAGAAAGAGCGTATCAGAGTAATACGTAATAGTAAAGATAACACAACCCACACCTCACCTCAACTTAATATTTTAAGATACTTATAACTTACAAAATAATAGGTAAAAATTGCTATCAACTAGACAATTTCGTAATTTTTTATTTTGTTAGCTAGATTAATATGTATGTTACCATGAAAAGAAATTAATTTGACAATATCATTAGGTTTAAGGAATGAAGTAGAATAGTATAACTGATAAATCAAAATATGTATAAAACTAAAAAATACCAAAAAGAATTCTTTTAACATGATTACTATTTTAAGAAAAATTGAGTGGCTAGTGTTAAAATATTCACCTTGTATTTAAAATGTATCATATTTTATTTATAAATTTCAGTTTTAATTATCATTTTGAGCTTATTGGTTTTAATATTATGATCTAAACTGAATTCATATTGTAGTTTTTGAAAATCAATTAAAATTTTTTTTCTAAAAATCTAGATTGATTAAATAATGAGCTAAGTTTGTCAAAAAATAATACAGCAATATGATAATTTTTTAACTTAATTTACAATATTATTATATTAATAATTAATTTAAAAAATAATAATTAAACAAAAAATAAATAATTGTCTTACATATTGAGTAGTAATTTTTTTCATTATTTATTGTTTTTACTTTAGAATTATCAAGTTCTTCTTTTAAAGAAGTATTTAAATATAAAGATATTGGATAATTTGATGGTCGGCCCAAATCAAAAAGTTCATTAAAATCAAAGTTAGAATTTTGTTTTATGGTAGGATCAGCCAGTTGATTTACTTCAGTTTGTTTACGTTTTAATTTGTCAGCCACTGTTAACATCATTTTAAGCCTCTAAAAAATATAATATATATGAATATGAAAAATTTAAATAAGTTAACGATGGAATTTACCTTAGGTTTTTGAATTTTAATGGGTTCATTGCCATCATTTAATTTTGCCATATCTTTTTTAAATTTAATTGCTCTTACTTGCTCAACCAATTTACTAGTGTTTTCACTAAAATTATCTACCCTAAATCCATATATTTTTGCACTAGCCTCAAGGTTATCAGCCATTTCTTGAAACTATTAGTAAATTAAACTTTAAATAAATTTATATTCAAACAATGTATTTGCTGCATTTGTCATTAAAGAAAATGTTTTAATTATAATTTTTTATAGGCATATCTTTTGATTATTAAGTTATTTTAATTAAAAAACTAAATTAGAAAAAATCATTTTAAGCTTTAAAAGGTATTGGATTGTAAGCAATATTTTTGTGTAAAATGATATATTAAAGTTAAAATTTATTTACACATTTTATCAAACAATATATTAAATAATCTTAAAAGCAGTATTAATTTTAATAAGTGTATTTCATTCTTATTGAATGATTTTAGAGAAATAACATATTGTTATGTTTAAATTTCAAAATTGGTCGCAAGTTAATATTTTTAGCAAACACTTTGTAAGAAGCCTATTTTTAAGTATAGGAAATTTAATATTTTTTACTATGGTGCATGGAATAATTCAATAATCAATTATGAAAATATATTTTCAGTTCCTGTGAAAAAACAAAAATGACACTTACACTTGTTACCTATTAGATTATTATATACAATATGTAAAACATAATATAAATATATACTTTACAAAAGTATATTTATACTAGTAAATTAGTTAGAACTCTTCATAAAATTCATGATGATTTCTGTTAATTGAAAAAAGTTTTATGTTTCTTTTTCTTTATTTAATATTAATTCTGTTATTGTCATGTTATTTGAATGTATAATTTTAAAGTTGCTTAAAGACTAGAATTGAGATAAAGACTCAAAATTTTAAGCATAATTTTCTTTTGTATCCTATACAAAATAAGGGACATTCTAGTGTATATATTGTATTTCTAAATATTTTGAAATAATTTGTTTTAAATGCATAGTGATTTCTTACAAATTATTCAACAAAATATAAGTACTTACTGAACAAATATCTGCATTATTTGTTTGCTTATTTTTTTCTAACCAAAATGCAAAATGTCCAATTAAATCAATGTCAAAAGCATTTGACGCATTTATTTTCTACGAAAAAAAAAACATTATTGAAGAATTTCAATGAAAATAATTTTAATTTATTACTTTAAACTTTAATACAAGACTAAAAATACTAAGTTTAAGGGGTAATCATTAGTATCATTTTGACTGAAAAATGTATGAATATTTTTGAATCAAAATTAAACATTTTTTTTTAGAATCATAAAAGTTTATTTTATAAATATACACACTAACAGATATTATTTTAACAAATTAATACAATAAGTAAGACAAAGAGTAAATTTTTTCTGAAATTGTTCTTGAAACTTTACTTATGGTTATAATTAAATGTTAGATTCAAATTAAATAAAAAATAATTTTTAAATGTAGCTTAAAAATTTTAATTAATAACTATTGTTTGATATTATGTTATTCATATTTTTTGCTGCTGAAATTATACAATGGATTAAAATACTAATATTTTTATATTTTTACTTACATTTTCTAAACATAAATTTCGAAACATTTTTATCTTCATATTTAACTGTTCAGATGTAAGATGTTCAAAATATTCATCGTCATCAGTTAAAATATTTTTTTGGCGTGATTTCTATAAAAATTAAAAAGTTAATTCAACATAAATATATTTCAAATAAAATATAAGATTTACCGCCATATCCGTCTTGGTTATTTCTGCAGTCTTATACACACTAGGACTTTCGCCCGCGTCATATACCTTTGAATTAACGTCCAACAAAACCATTTGTTCAATTAAACATTAGTTGAAATAAAAAAAATTATAACGGTGTCATTCAAAGTAATATAGCAAATTAATGTAAAATTTCAAGAATGAGAAAAACATATCAGTTTATTTTGAATGTGATAACAACACTTGACAGTTAACGGCTAATACTGAAAAGAACAGCATGGCCAACATATGTGTGTACCAAATAATGAACGAGAAACGCATGCGTACAAGTTGATAATGTCGAGGAAGTTATTTCTATTTTTTATATTATCTTTTAACGTGTGCCATTCTAAGAATTTTGTCCTGAGAAAAAATGATCACCGAGGACGACACAACATTTTCTGACCGATATTTACAAAATAGAGTGACCTTCGGGTTACTTAACACCTAATATAATAAAATAGAGGACTTCTCTAACATATGATCAGTTAACCATGAAACTGAATGATTGGCATACAAGTTAAAAAATCAATGTAGAATAGCTGACTTAAATAATGAAAAAATATTTAATAACATTGTTTAATTAGCAGTCGCGCTTGCCCCTTATATTGGAGCAAATGTGACCTTCATTTTTATTTTACTTTAATAAGCATTGGAAAGTTGAATTTAAATTTGTTTAAACATTTAAGTTAGTATATATGATGGTATTATGATAGTTTTTATGTTATATGTGATAATTATTTAACAAATAATAATACACAAATCATTTTATGACCATTTAAGTATAAAAAAAGCGTACACACTTCCGCCATACCTTACTTTAAATAAGACTAATATTAAGGTTAAAAATTAATTTGATTGAATTACAAATATTAACTGACATATTAAATAAAATTATAATAAAAATAGATATAGTTTATAATAAATATAAATTAATAGTATAAAAATCTTATAATTTTTTTAAATTTAAATTCATTTAGAGCGTTTTTAATTATATGGAAGAATGTTATTATGCTTCTTTTAAAATAATGCTGTTGGGAGAAGTGGCGTATTTAGAAATTTTGTATAGGGATCCAGATAGCTTTAGAAAGTAAAGTAGTGGAGAAGTTCACCCCTCCATTACATCCGATGTTATGAGTTTATGTTTATGGGCAGTCTGGACCCCAGGCTCCTTCCTCGTAAATACGCTATTAGTTGGGAGCTATTGCCTCCCTATGCCAATACTTAAATAAAAACCTGAGCATAGTACAACATATTATTAATATCTATTCGCTTAGACAATGTCAAAATATTCATATTGGATACTTTGGTATAAACTTATGTTATTTTTATTTATATGGTACGCTTAAGTTTTAATTTAATGAATCTTAAAAGTAACGAATAACAATGGTTTATAGATATAATTCTTAGGAGTGAAGATTAGATAAATGTTTGATATTTTTCATTGAAAAATGAATATTCCCGTGATCCATTCTAACTAAAAAATATTTTCAACTTGAGTAACATTTTTGTTTTTGTATGTTCACGAGTAGGGTATTTTAAAAGATTATTTCAATGGGTTATTTGAATAAAAGACTGAATTAGACGACTTGGGGCGTAACCCGATGCTAAACACATATATTGTTTACTGTGTATCATGTAAAGCCAAGTATCATTTTCAATGAAAAGTACTCGCCGTTGATTGATTGTTTTCATGGCGAAATAATTACGGTGATTTGTGACTGTGTCCCGACACAGCTTACTGTTGTTTTCCTTAAATTAGAACGGAGATGATGATTTTGAATTAAAGAAACTATTTAAAAGATATTGAAAACACACGATTTATACATTGTATATTCTTCACTATAATATCTCTGGGTAATAACGTGTATTTACACTAAAACATACACACACAAATAAAGAAATGATAAACTTTATTATATAGATATAATTATATATAGCTTCTAAATAATTTAGTTCAATTTAAGTATAAAATAAAAACACGACATTTTTGAAGGAGTTCACATTTGAAATATTCAACGATAAATAAAATGATTCCTACTGAAAATTTAAGGTTTAATTGCACGTCAAATGATAAAATTTTGTTAGTCACGATAAACATATTGTTCACTAATACATCGATGGGTATCTCAACAATTTAACGCAATAATCAATTTGTTTAATTAAAAAGAAAGTATTTTAACATTGAGTTAATTTTTTAGGTTAAAATATATTTCATATATGGTCATATTTATGGAAGGATATAGTTGGAATACCAGTGGCATAATTACGATTTCGTTATAAGGAGGGATGTACGTGAGGACATTTTCACTTCTCTTTCCAAGCAAAAAAATTGTAATTTCCCCTTGACTAGGAAAATGAATGGCTGATAACGTCTTTTGTTTTTTATGTTCAAATTTAATATACCATTTTTCTTCAACATAAGTAGTTTTTTTTATAAGCAATTAATAAGAATACTTATTGATAATACATGATACTATATTGTAATGTTTTACTATAAATTTAAAATTATAGTAAAATATTAAATATCATAGTTGTAAAATTTATATTTTTTTAGTAGCATTCAAAAAACAGTGTAAGAGTGCTTAATTTTTTTGTCTCGTTTCTTTAATAATATATATATATATTTGATGTCGAGGCACTTCGGAACTTGAAATATGCTATTTCTCTATTTTATCAATACACGTTTTAGTGTNTCGGAACTTGAAATATGCTATTTCTCTATTTTATCAATACACGTTTTAGTGTATTTATTGCCATTTATCGTATAAACTGTGTGATATTTATAATAATAAGATACATAACTAACTAGGCATTAAATAACTATGTTATATTAAAAATATGTTCTAGCAAACAGTTCTTTAATAATAAAAAACAATTTATACAATAAATACAATATAAAAGATTAGATAGGAAATGTTATAATTTAATAATTTAATTTTTAAATAAATATATAAATAATATAATGGCTCCTTGAGTCAGATGAAGACAATCTTTAAATTTTCTGACTAAATTTTTATAAAGACTAAATTGTCAACTATCTACGCCGATACGCTGAGTGTGAACTACCACCGGCTGACCCAGGAGGTCCATAAGATCCAGAAGGTCCATACGAAGGAATGTGAACTTCAGCTGGGTTTGCTTTCCATGGGCTCTCGACAACTTTATATTGTGTACTATTGTGTTTGTTATTTTTTAAGAACATGATAAACTGAATGATTTGAATGACCACGCCAATGAAAGTTAATGCAACAGCTTTGAATGCAAGCATGTGACCAATCATTCCCATTATATGGTTAACGACCATTTTGAAATAGCTTAAACCAAAGTGCATCATTTCCATTTTATTTTTTCCACCACCTTCACCGCCTTTGTTTTTCTTGCCCCTACCTTTAATAAAAGGAGTGTTTAATATATTTTATAAAAGATAATTTATCAAAAAAAATGCGTGTCAAAAAGAAACATGTAAAAATAATTAATATAAGAATAATATTTTCAAATAAAATTGGAGGTTGAATGAAAGTTAATTGTTTATGATGATAATATTTTTAATTGTACTATTCATATATGATTATATTAATATGTACAAAATGATCCATTTATCATAAACCATTTAATTGCGCGCTAGATGCGCCCATGTATTTTATATGATAATGAAAGCACATTTGTACCTGAAACAACATCATAATCGGAGTCTTGGATATTTTGTGGTACAGATAGTGGATTGGCATCAGAGACATCTTCAGAAGCGAATCGACTTTGACGTTCAGCTAATGCACTGCATACCACTACAGCAACCAAAAATGCTAAGATAATTTTATTCATTTTTCTAAGATTTATCTGAAAAAATATATAAAAATGTTAATATTAATTAAATATTTTTGTGAAAAATTAATATTTAAACTACATCTATTGAATTCATTTTACGTTAAATTAATTATGGTTCAAGTCATAAAATATTCTGTTTAACATACTAACATTATCAATTGAAAATCGTTTTTGTATTTAACTATAAAATCTAATATTACAAAACAGTATGTATTCCTAATCCAGATAATTTCATTGTACTCCAAGTTCTATATTGTGTATACATTGTATATATAAAACAATATTACATTAGAACGAGTTAATAAATATTATTGTTAGACTAGTTTTATTTCATTTTTTTTTTTTTTTAATGTAAGATTTAGAAAACTTGATTCTTAAATTGCAAACAAACTTGTATCAAATAATTATTATAACTTTTTTCATTGTATAGATCCGGAATTTCGTATTCTGAACATGGTAACGTGGTATGCAGTAACTTTCATAGAACTAATTCACAATTGTTTATAAATCTAATGTCAATAAGTATATTTAGTGATCATATATTAATAAGACACAACTTTTTCCGTCCTATCAAATAATGTCGACAACTAAAAAGTATTTTCATTCACAATATAAAAGTATAGAGAAGTTACTTGAACCTATACATAATAGGAAAACTATTCTATTGAAATTTCATTTTTATAAGTCAAAAAACATTTAAAAACTTTTAAACGAGAATTTTAAAGAACTTATTTAGTTTTTATTTTATAAAGCGGCAATGTTAAAATTTTCGATCTTGAACCTCCTACGCGCGAGATTTGGATGAAATAAAAAACACATCATTTTATAAAAACCAATAGTTATTACGAATTGTGCGCAGATACTAAAATGCAATATGTATGCAAAACGAACAATGATTGCCTTTGGAATGCTGTACTGGTGGTGTCTTTTGGGAGAGCCCTCAGGCGATCTAGGGATGATATGTCGATCACTGTTATAGCGTTGTTTATTTTTAAAATAGGTACATAGGATTTACAGGTCACACTTGGCCCATACATTTATTTAGGATAGGCTATTAGATTATTCACCGTGCGAATTTAATTATCATCTCCGAGTTCCATTGGCATATTCAATGATTTGCATAGAATAATGGTTAACACAACACATGTGAACTATTATTAGTAAAATTACACATTTCTTTTATAGAAGAACATAAGGAGTACGTGTGACGCCGACGTTGTGGATAGTTGTGTTGAACAATAACGAGGAGAATTATGCTAATACGTATGAAGAAATATATTCAATGCCCATAAATTTCTATAATGGGCAACAACACTAACAAAAATGAATGCCGTGAGCATAACGAAAAAAAATTGTCCTCGCGATGTCCGATATTGAAAACAGGAGCTCTTTACACTGTTTTGCGCGTATAATCATTAATGCAACGCAAATGGCACGAAACGCTTAATAACAGTAATAATATCACTATGATCGACCAACACAAACATTAGAAGAGCCGCTTTAACAACATGCACACATCGTATTCTCATTGTAAATTATACGGCCGCCCTTTCGCACATTACTTTATACCGACTATTGTTTTAATTGTGTTCATCATAGTAATCGACGCGAAGTACGACGTGTGTTAATGTACAGGTATACTGTGTGAAGAAACCGTTCAACGCCATTCCAGTCGCGTCTCGTCCGGAAACGGAACCGCCAAAATACCAACAGTGCTAAACGCAGGGAAACTTTCGGCGTTGACACTATTGTTTACTAATGATGCGACTTGACCAAGTGTGTGGAACGTATTTAAAGTGCCCTACCCTTACCGCGATAATAATTCACGAGCAAATATAACACAGCACACAACCGTTGTGTATAAATTTATTTGAAATTGACAGGTTACTGTTAAATGGAAGTGAAAGATTAATGCCTAAAAAAATGATTTATTAACATAGTCGACGTTTGTGATTGATCGAGTGATTTCTACTTGCTTTAGATTTTCATCATTGTGCTTGAAAGTTTCATTTAGATTTAATTCCTTAATTAATAACAACATAACAATTACAACTCATCTAATTTCAGTTTAATTACATTTTTCTCAGGCATCACACATATACTATACTAAAATAAAATTATCACTTTTAAATTAACTTTTTTGAATATTTTTATTTCATTTTCTATCATCCCGACCAATTTAAGAAGTATGACGAACGAGTCTTTACCACGTTTGTCTATCATATCATTTGAACTTTAAATGATTTTCCACGTTGTGAATAAAAATTAAATATTTATTACAACAAAAAAAAAACAATGCGACCAAATATATATAACGCGAAAATGTTCAGAAAAAAACCTAGTCATATATTTCTACCGCTCCAATGATTTCCTTTCATTAGATATGATAAAAAAAAACAAAACAATAAATTTTGATTTGAATTTAAAAAATTCGTCACCCATACTTACATTATAACTATTGTAATTGTGTCATTGCGGCAACACTGTGGATATATGTGTAGATATCGTATACATAAATCTAATATAGACCTTACATTATGTATCATATATGCATTGTACATGTCAAGAATACTTAATTTGAGAAAGTCATTGCAGTTAGTGATCCGGGTTAGAAAATTAAAATTATCACGCATTGATATAATATGAGAAGAAATAAAACATATAATGGCTAAATGTCAACGCTAAATTATACAGTATTTGTACTAAAGATTGAAAAGTTCTGTTAGAAAAATTACTCAGCATGATGTAATTAGGACAAGTATAGATAATATCTGATAGTGAATAACATCACTGTTATAAAAAAAAATACGATCAAATTTGTTAAATCTCACAATTTATGTATTTGTGATTTTATAATTTAAAATTTCATTCAAATATGAAGAAGGGCTTTATAAATTCTATACTTGGTTGAAAATAACGTAATTTTTACATTGAAGGCCGATTTTTCACAATGGAAGTCTAAATTTTTTATTTTAATATTGTAAAACATATCAAAATCTTTAATTTGGTATAGATTTAAAATTGTCAGAGTTTCCGGAACATTTTCAAAAATTGATTTGAACATTTTTACCCGTATAAGTAGTTTTTTTTAGCCTCTCGTGTACCCAGGTTTCTCTTCGGATTTCCGCAAAAAGCATACTAAATGAAAGTTTATTGTCTCTATTATATTCTAATAAAATTTCATTTAGATAAGCGTTAAAAAAAAAAATTATATCAGTTTTAAAATCCAGAAAAATAGTTTAAAAAGCTAAAAAGTCCATATAATTATTGAATTCATCCTTACACAAAGTTATTTAATACTATCTTTAATGTCATTTATCACGAATCCATATTTCATAGGCATAATGTAACCATACCGAAATGTTACGACTAATACGAATCCAACTGTAATTTGATTAATCTGTTCCCATAAAATATTATTACAAGCACTGAATAAATCTTTTTATCGAATAATTAATGAGATGGTATGTGTAAAATATGCATTGAGTTGTAAATTTTACCAAATAAATTTTGGTATTTCGTAAAAGCATTAATGACATATCGTTCAACTTAACTATGTTAATATTGTTAATCAAAAATTATACCTCGACTGTGTGCATGAAAAAAAAAAAAATAAATCGATGACTGTGAGTAATAGACGCATAAGTAATGTAGAATATCAGTAAAATGTAGTTGAACAAATGGAAAAGAAATACTTAAAAATGTAAAATTTGTTTAAAATAAAATAAAATAAAGGTACTGTAAACATTTCACTATGCTGGTTATGGTATGGATATTTTCAAATACTATTTATATAATTTAAAAAATTTCTCGATATATATTTATTAAAAATGTCCGAATGATATACTTTTTGGGGTAGTTATTTAGCAGAAACTGCTACAGAATATATCATACAAAAATTTTGAAAATAGACAATTAATTTCAGTAGATTTATCATTTTCCGCAATCTTTTTAACTCCTACATTCTAGTTGTTGTCTTGGTTATACAAAAGTTTTAACAGCCAATTTACTTTTTACGCAATACATCCAAACGCTCGCTTTAACTGTTATTCCAAACAGATTATGATTGTTAGACACAGAACATGACCAAGAACACTGTAAGTTAGAAAATTCTGGCAGTAAAAAATATCGCGTCAACAAATAAATGGATGTTCATAAAGGTGACCGTAAGTGAATTACTCGAGTTACAAAAATAAAAGTTAAAATTTAATCTAGAGCTAACACAGATTTGTCAACTAAAATTGAAGTTTTAAATTTATATTCTCAACAACCACAATTCAACTAGATTATTATGTTCTTAGTCCTTATAAAGAATATTTTAATTAAATACTTGAATGAGAAAACAAAATCGTTTCCCGGTATGAAATGGCTTTGATTATTTAAATTCATCATTTAGAGATTTATTAACTAATCTAATCGGGAAAAATGGAATTGTCAATTATAAGTTGTTTCATAATAAAAATTTAAATAAAATCAGAAAATAACTATAAAATTATAGAACAATCGACTTAATTGCTACAGCAAATGCATAATAGAAGCAAATATACAAAGTTATTTGGTGTTAAAACTGATTACCTGTAGGTGTCAAAACATGGCACCATTACCTTGTACCTATTCTAATTTTCGAATCGATTTCATGGCATGTCATACAATTCTATCGAAAATAGCATATATATTATATGGATTTGTGTATGACAGTTGTTTGGAAGGCATTTAATATTAGTTTCAATGCGAAGATAAGATGGTATTTAGTAGAAAAAACCTTAACTTTTTTTCTGGTTTTCGGAAACCTGCGCATTCTAAAACTGAAATAGAGAGGCTTCAAGAATTATTATATTTTTATAATTCAATCGACAAAACGCAAGAAATATTTTTGAATAATAAGTTTTTAAATACAAAAATATCTTGGTTTATATAACGCGTTGTTTATTTTCTTGGTTGGTGTTTTTTTATTTTAGTGTTTTTAATAGCTATTTGTTAGATGGAAAGAGTTCCGTCAAATTAAACTAGCGAAACCAATTAAATATGGAATCGAGCACTAATAATTTTCTTTTTATTGCAACGTTATGACGACAATGTTGATCTTCACAGTTTCATTGTATTTCTCAGATGATATCATTTCATAATGAAGGCAGATCAAAAAATATTTGATAAAACTTACAATTTATCACTTTCATTAAGAAAAATTTATATCATTATAGTGGTTATTATCTAAGTTAAAACAAAAATGTAATAAGCAATAACAAATAACGATAGGCTATTTAGTAAAATGATTATAAAGTAGTAATTATCAATAGTATTTTTTTTACCAGTTTAATTTTTGTTAATGATAATGTAAGAGTTTAAAATTTCATTATTATCTAAAAATGTTTCGAGTCAAATTGTATACTTAGGTTTAAATTTGAATTTATTTTTACACTTCAATTCATTGATGTATAAAATTATATTAAAATGAACACATGGCATTACCTGTTAACTCCAACGGTGTACACTAATACGAACTGATACTCAAACCAATGAATAATGAAAGACCGTACACAACTATTCGCGGTACGTGAGAACGACAAACACCGAAACTGTACGTATTCTCTTTTATACTGATTTTTGCAATTTACTGTAATGATTTCTGTGACAAGAACGTCGATCGAATGATACACTAGACGAGTGTGCGAGTAGTATTTAATTGATTCCCACCATCCAAATTTGGGGCGGCTGCTGTGTGCGAAAGCGAGCGTGGAAAGCCAACACCGGTTGCAGACGACCATGCGGTCCTACCGGTTTGTAGTGGATGTTTCCTATGTTCTTTTTTCATTTTTTAATATCATGTACACGTGCTTATTTACGCGACATCCGAAAATTATTGGCCACGTGTTCGGATCTATGCCATTCATTAGAATCTACGGAGGCTGGTTGCTATTGGCACTTAGGTAAAGGTCAAGTACTTTTGTAACTTTGTAAAACAGGAAATTGCTTTCTAAAAAAAAAAAAAAAATGATTAGTATTACGAACAAGCAAAAATGTTTCTAGAACAGTTTTAAATGTTTAAACGCAGGAACGAGTTGAGATCATTTTCGTTTTTAGGTTTTAAAACAAGATAATTCAGAATTTAATTTGACTGACCGGTCTATAATTTGGATAAGCTTAAACTATCAAATAAAAAATGTGTTTAGTTAAAACTTACAAAAACCTTGTTATACTGTATATCTCAGTTAATTTTTAACTATCCGGTAATGATCAGGTAAGTATCCTACAGATTCAATCGAGCATAACAATTTTGACAGTTAAGTGATTAAGTACATTTATAATAATGATAACCCTCAAGACTTGGTAATATTTAAAATATAGTAACTTAGTTAATCAAATCCGGATCACATAACCAAATTCGATTTCTAATAGTATTACAAGTATGTAGTTGTTGAAAAATAGTGTCTTTTTACAACTTCATTCTTTAAATAACTTTTACTTTTTTTGATGACATTGATAAAACTTTTTCTTTCATAAAAATTATTTCTTAGATAAAAGTTAACGTCTTCAACAAATACATGATAATTACTTTTTTGTCTAAATTTATAAAAATAGAATTATTTATGCTGTATATCTATTTTTACATATAATATAAGTTATTTAAAAAAATTAAATTTCTTATTATTTATTTCTTAAATTACTTTTAAATAATTATTAATTTTTATTTACCAGACATGATGTTTGTTTATTAAAACAATAACAAATTCTTATTGTATGTTTTCAAATTCATATAAAAAGTACACGTCAAATTATATAAAAATTTTAAACTTAAATAATTTGAAATATGAAAGCATTAAAAATGTTATGATCTGATCAATTTTGACTTTATTCTATTTAAGTAATTTATATTACAATAGTTGTTAGTATCTTCTGTATAATTAATTAAACAGCAAGTAAAACCTGTAGGTATAATACAGTAATTATTTACTTTTATCAAATCTATTATCAAAGTAGTATTATTTGATTTTAGTATGTTATTTGAAAAAATTCAGTAACATAATCGATTTACAATGTCTGGAATATAGTCTTCATATTGAACGTATATGACATTAAAATAAAATAAAAATAAATATTTTACTTGTCCAATTTTTTAACGTTCTTAGAAATTCAATCATAGCACAATTTATATAGAAAAAGAAATTTCAAATAATCCGGTATTCAAGTATGTGTCTATGTATAATCATTATACTTAAAAGATAAAATACAATTTCTAATGTAATTATGACAATCAACTAGCTTGACATTTTCCATTTTGCTTTGCGTACACGTTGTTTATTAGCACATATAGTTTAATTACTTGAAATTATTATTAAAATTATAATAATGCAATTATTTTTTTATTTAATTTAACAAAAATACAAATATTGCCCAATAATTAAAAAAAATCATCCGTTTCATTTCAATTATTACAGAAATTTTAAAGGGAATTAATAAGAAAAATATGCATTAATACTAGTTTGGTATTCTACTATTAAATATGACTAATTTTTTTGAGACTTATTTTCAAAACAAAGTACAATAAGGCTTTAACTAATAAATTTTATATTTGGTTTAGTTACATTTGTAATATTCGACATTTATCTTTAGGTGTAACTCAAATAATATTTCGGGGAAAAACACATTAATATTATACTAATATTTAATATAAACTAAAAATATAACCTAACTTACATGTGGGTGATAGACACATTAATTCTTAATTATTTTTTTACTTAATATTATGTAACAAAAGAAATTGAATGGCTGCTATATAATAAATAAAACAGTCATATATTAATATAAAAATTATATATAATACCATATGGGGTGTTTAATAAATTAGTGATCACGAAAATTTGTTGTACATCTTGTATTGGTGTACATTTATAATGCATACACCACCAGCGTTACATACCCACTCTATATATTAAAATAATTGTTACTCAATGAGTATTTGTCCTAAAATTTATAACAATCTGTTAATTATTTGTATGGGAAAAGCGTTTAAAATAGCTATTTTTCAATTTTGAAAAAACATTTTTTAATTAATTATTGATTGATAATTGACATTAATTTAAATTACTATCGTAAAACGCTTCGATACGTATTTGAAACAAATTTAAAAATATTTAATACATCTACCTAAAATTATATTTTAATTATTTTAAATTATATCAAGTTTAAGGCAGTCCACATAAAGTTGTATGGAATAAAAAACATGTTCTGTTATTATTCAAATCTTTTCAAAATCAGCCAATTTTACCGAAATTTTCATGATTTTCTGGCTTTAGTGGCTGATAACTCATTCATATAAAAGAAGTCTTCGGATAGTTTTAATTTTATCATCTTAAAGTATATTGTGTTAGCTTTAATTTATATAGTCAGAAGTTTTGAAAAAAAAAACATTGATATTTTTAAGCCCCCGATTATGAGAGTTAATAGATATTCAAAAATGTATGTTTTTAGCAAGGCAAATAATTGAAGTATAATCAATAAAAATTTCGCAATAATCCTTCCAGTTTTCAAAAAGTTGGTCCGGTGTAAAGTGTAAACTATAAATATCAACATTAGATTGTTTTATGATAATTTTAATTTTTAGACATTTCTCATATTACTGGGACTAAGGGAAATTTGTAAAATTATTACGCTGATAAATTTAACTAAATATGTTTTTTGATCTTTTGACGTAGTGTTGAGTAAATTGATCCAATATGACAAAAGTTATTTTGTACATGAATATAAAAAAAAAACTTAATACTGTAAGACCAATAGCTTCACAGCTACACATTAACTAAAAAATATGACTTAACGTAACCTAACAATGCAAAAATTAAAAAAATAAATTTTACCCCGAAATGATTATTGAATTACAAGTTATAAGATTTGCAAAAGAGATACAGTTCATTCTGTATATGAACTTATGTTTTTATATCTTAAAATATTTTTTCTAAACCTCTAGATTAAAAAATTTTAGAAAATAAAATTTAAAGCACAAAGAGGAGCAATCTATTAACAATACTTATGGAATAAAAAATAAATATAATGTAACAGATTTACAAGGAAGTGTTAAATACTTTTATGTAAAAATGAGGTTAAATTAATGAATTTAACGAATTTTATTATTCCATTTTTTCTAAAAATTTTTAAATTGAAGAACTAAAAAATTATTGTCATAGAAACTGGTTATCATAAATGTTGTTAAATTAAGGTAGTGTAATAAAAAAAATTTAGTAGTGGCATATTTAGGATTTTTTTGAGGATACTGATAAATTAATAAGATATACAGAGTGATTCTGTAGTACACAACTGATCATGTATTTGAAAAATAAAAATAGTTTTGAAAAAATCTTTTTTGGTTCTTTTTAGTACCGTGTATTTATCAATTTGTTAGTCATCAAGTATTTTTTTCATTTATGATTTATTTACTCTTATGAGTATTACATTAAAAAGTTATTACAACTTTAATTTTTTAAAATAGCAACATAAAATCTCCACCAGCATAAATATAACGAATATCATAATATTTAAAAATATAAATTTTTATAATTACGTTTTCCTGCGTTCGTCCAGTACAGACAGATCATCTTTGAAATAATTGTAACAATAAATGATTGAAAATTAATTATATATTTTAATTATAATATTTTATTTGAATTTTATATATCAATTTAAAAAACTCCAGTGTCTAATTCAAAGTTTTTTTCGACTAGTGCTTAAAAAATTTGTCAATTTATTATTTATATTATATAAATTTTGTTGGGTATAAAAATTATGATTTTTTTGATAACATTCGTTGAGTGACATTTTTTTGCAATAATCAAATACATGGTGGCCCACCACTCACTGACAACTTAAATAACTTTTGATCCAGTTAATATTTTTAGCTGATTTTTTTTTTAAATAATAGTTATACGTTAGGTCTATAGCTATATCTCAATAATTAATTTTTTTACATTTTATTAAAAATCTTAATTATTTTTAAATTTTAAATAAAAAGTAAAAACAAAATCTAAGATAGCTATTTTGTAGAGTAGAATTTAAGAAAAATTTTAGTAAAAAAATATCTTATTAATATTCAATAGTAAATATTCTGTAGCGTTTTGAAGTTTGTGAATATTTGAATTTTCATGTACTATTTTACGGTATTAAACATTGAAATACGTATTGAGAAAAGGACAGAAGAAAACGCTATCTTTTCAATATACTTTTGAATGAGAGTGATAAGTAATAATTGCCTTATCTAATTTCTTATCATGGTATTTATGCCAAGTTTGTAATGTATACACACTATCATCATATGTATACACAGTAATCATGAAAAGATAGCGTTTTCTTCTGTCCTTTTCTCAATACGTATTTCAATGTTTAATACCGTAAAATAGTACATGAAAATTCAAATTTTCACAAACTTCAAAACGCTACAGAATATTTACTACTGAATATTAATAAGATATTTTTTTACTAAAATTTTTCTTAAATTCTACTCTACAAAATAGCTATCTTAGATTTTTTTTTTACATTTTATTTAAAATTTAAAAATAATTAATATTTTTAATAAAATGTAAAAAAATTAATTATTGAGATATAGCTATAGACCTAACGTATAACTATTATTTAAAAAAAAAAATCAGCTAAAAATATTAACTGGATCAAAAGTTATTTAAGTTGTCAGTGAGTGGTGGGCCACCCTGTATTTACTGTGATATTTTATAAAAATTATTATTGAACTAAATAAGTTTTTTATTGAATTCCACGTTATTCCATTATATTTCTAATTCATTTAGAAAGTTTATCTAAAAGATAATACTTATTTATAAATATATATAATGAAAAATATTTAAGTCATGTAGTACAATAATCGAAATGTATGACCTAGTTTTGTTTTCATTAATAACCTGTATAAATTTTAAAAAATGTCAAAGAACATCTTAGTATTGTTTCAAGTTTTTTCACAAAAAAATATAAAAAATATTAAAGTTCCAAGTGAAAGTCGTATTAAGATTTTGACATTAAGATGCATTGAACTCGTATAATTAATACATTTTGTTTGTAGGGTATTTCTATGTTATAATAGTGTTATATTATGTAAGTTTTCAAACAAATAATTAAATTACGATTTTTGTATTAGCGACCACTTGTTAATTTCATAAGATTAGATAATCTTTGAATGAAGTTTTTTATTTTTTAACTAATTAATGCAAAGACAATGTTTTCAAATAAGACAATAAACATCTATAATTATTTAATAGATAGATTATAGATATTTATAAAAAACATAATTTAATGTTTTTAGATTATAACCAATGAAGAAGTACTTATTTTATATTAAAATTTATTTGTCTTAATATACAAGATAGTATTTAAATCACAAATTATTTAGTAAATTTTTATAAACAGTTGTTTAAATTATGCTACTAAGTATCAATTTCTAGACGTCTTTAAAGTGATAGTTAGTTACTACCGACAAATAAGCAAAACATTTTTAAGTATGATATTATCTTTCATATACTTTTTTGAAAAATTAAAGCACAATGTAATTTATAGTAATTGATCTTTTAATTACATTTCATTGCATCACATGAACCGTTATTTACAAATCAGGTTTTCTAATATTCCATTAAAGTTGATTCTTTTTTTATGAAGATGTTGAATGTGAAAGTAAATTTCTATTAAACTAAGTTATATATTTTGCGTATTTTATTTCTAAAATGACAAAATTGCTATGCTTATCATTTATATTTTTTTTTAAAACAAGTTTGAATTAACCAAATATGGCTTCAGGGAAAAACAGACGAGTCGTCCTGTATAAAGTAGATTAGCTATTTATTTATACAAAAAAAAAAAATTGTTAAATAAAACAAATCATATGATAAGACATTTTAAAGTCGGGTTTTCACAGAAAATTGTTACCTAAAATTGTATTATTTATCATAAAACCCTGTCAAAAATATCGCGAGAATAAGAAATAGTGTCAACATGGACTTATTACTGAAAGCTGTTAAATTTAAACAGATATGTAGGGTGTTAGTAAGTAAGGAACGGGTTTCTATTGTTTCTCATGGTTTATTATAACAATTGACCTGTTTCTTTAATTTTTGAACTTTCTGTGTAACTTATAATTTAATATGAATAAAATACTACTGAAGGGCTTAGTGTAATAACTAGATAAACCCAACTTTTAACAAATATTTTTTTGTTACTTTCGTTTAAATATTATATTTTTGTGTAGTAAAGTATACAAATGGAATTTATATTTAGATTATTTGTGGTTATATTTGATGTAGAAAAAAACATATTATTGCAATTAATAAAAATCTATTAATGTAAATCAGCTTTACAAGGAAGCTAAAAAATATTCAGTAAATTGCATTTCTTAGACAATTTTTAAAAATGGGCATATACGGATGTTGCACTGAACCTATCAGTTTTTATTACTTATAGATATAATATAAGTTAAAATGTTAGCTCCAACAAATAGTTAGGAAATTAACTCAACAATTTTTTAAAGTAGACGTTCTAAAAATATCGAGAAAAAAAATTAAACAATATAAAAATAATGAAAATTTTCCTATCCAATAGTTTTGCTATAATTAGTGTCAACTGTTAAATAACACATTTAATTTGTAATGTTCTTAAATCAATGTATAATGTTACGGACATACTCAATAAGGTTAGTCTAAAATACGTAGAGGTATCACTGTTAAAAAATCATTAAACAGTAATTTAAATTATTTCACAATAAATTTATATTTTATTAACAAATGATGATTTTTTCCATTTGAGTTTTGTTTGCCAAAATAAATGAAAGTATAATATATTATTGTTTCCCTCAAATACGATTTAAAAGAGTTTTTAGTGTATATAAAATATAAAACGAGGATAATTTGAACATATGTATTTAATGCTTTTATGGCAATTAGTAATGTTAAACTTGAAAATGAAAAATTCAAACTTTTACAACAAAAAATTATATTGGTCCTAGCATAAAAATAGTCTTTAAAAATGTAACAAAATAGTGTTTTATTAAACATTATATAAAAATTAACTTAAATGTATAAGATATATTCTAGATAAAGTTTAAAGATCACTAGAGATTGCTGATGTACTTCAGAATTTGAAGTTACGAATAGGTTACATAAAAATAATAACGTTAAATTACAATGTAGATAATTTCATTTGACAATGAGATCATATTAACCTTCATAGGCAGCTAAACATTTTTACCTTAAAATAGTTGTTACTATTTGGCTATTAAATTTTTCATCCTAACAGTATATTAAATTAAGATGAATATGAAAATGGTCAGAAGATTTTTAAAAAAAATATTATTAGTTTTCGTAACGTATTGACAATTTTGAAGTGAACACAAAAATTAAATTGGTAGAATGGCATACACAATTATTATGCTATGGGATAAACTATAAGACCACAAAATATTAAGGGATAAAATAAAAAAAAAAACTTAAACTTGATCACAGGAAAGATTCTGTCGTACATGATTTTCTAAGTCTCTTTGGTGGCGCGCAGGGACCAATATGGATTGCATATAAAATGCTCCACAAAGTGTCGTCAACGTCCTATTCAGTATTTGGCTACCGTGTCATAACAGTCTTTCCGTACCTTGAATCGTGAGTACAGAATTTGTTGTTATTATTAGTTCTTTATAATAGTCCTTATGTACAGTATGAAATAAGTGTAAGGCTTCATTAAAGAGGAATAATTTACTAATAAGCTTTTTGTCCTAATCATAATAATTAAATGTTTAAGCTAAAATTTATGTTGTGTAAACAATTTTAAATAGTAATTTCGAAATGGAAATAAAATATAGATTTGCTTTTTTGAAAAATGAAAATTTTGTTGATATACTTTTTAAATACCTGTCACAGATTAATAGAAAACTATTTATTTTATAACATTTAAAAAAGGGATATAGCAAACGATAATATTAACAATTAAATAATCTTTCGTTCTTATCGAACAAGTTTTAAATTACTCCTTAAATAAAACGTATATCTAAAAAAAGGATTATTTACTTTTAGTAAAATAATATATATTTATATATTATAATATAAAAATTGAATAATTTATTTTAATGAATTTTAAATAGAAAAAGTTAAGTACAGCCGAGCGTGGTGTAGTTGAGGTATTTTTTTAAATTAGTATTTATTAATAACCGACAGTGATTACAATAACTGTCGTAATACGCTTCTGTGTGAATTAAAAAAAAATTTTAAAAAGTTGATCATATTTACTAGAAATAACAAGTTTTTTGGCTTAAGAGATCAATTACTTTTAGAAGACAAGGTGCTAAACATTTTTCCATTTCCACGTTTCATCCTAAAACACATTGTATTATCTCTAATTTAATGTATATTTAAAGAAGTCATATTTTTCGTTGCATTATCTAAAATTGAGAAACGTAAATAAAAATGTTGATATGATTTTTAAACCCCCACAGAACCTTGGTTAATGATTGGAATTAAAAAAAATATATAACGTCGGTTAGACAATATATATAATTATGTTTTACTATATACGGGTACATATAATTTTTTTTTACTACACGTATCATCTAAATCGGTCTAGTTGGAGGGTAATAATTGTTTATAGTACATAAAAAAAAAGCACAGTAAAACCAATAGCTTCTCAACTAAACTAAAAACAATTATTACGTATTTGAAAGAGATATATGTATTAATGTTGACATTAAAAAAACTACGTATTATTTAAACGAGTCGTAAAATAAAAAATTTACTGATAAATAAATTTTACACAATTATCATTATAGCTGTGTACAAGGAGAATACGTAACTAAAAGAATACATTTTTATTTCAATTTTATATTGGTCAATTAAACTGTATTCTTGTTTGATTAGCTAAATTTTTTATATATATTTTCTTGAATACTAGTTATAGTAATATTTGTACTGTAATACCATTGAACAGTATTAAGAATACTCAGTATAATTTTACTTGAGCATAGACAGACCATTGCTTAATTACTTGGGGGAATATGATGCTGTAATATTACATGATGAAGATACAATTTATTTATCATTTGGAGGAGATGATGAAAAAAATTCTTATGTATACCCCGAGGCCCAGATAAGCCGCAGAAAATATCTATCCATTATATAATATTCAGCCCTTTTGATCTTTACTCTTAAAATTTATAACAGATGCCACTGGTACATAACAAATAATGCACTTCATATTGACTTAAAAATACCTATTGTTAACAAATTGGCCAAAGCATTGAAATACTTCACACAAAACTATGTATCTACTCAAAACCTCTTATCATCTCTATGTTTTACCGCTCGTTTTCTCATATTAATTCTTGTAGATTAAAAATAAATATACAGGGTGAAACAGATCTAACTGACAATTCTTATAACTTTTGATACAATTAATATTTTGTTGTATTTTTTGTTTTAATAACTTATGCATTTTTAGACTACGTTAGAATCATTTTTTATCACTTGTTTGTAATAATAAAATAAACAAACACAAATACAAGCTGTTCAAATCTGTATATATTAAATTCAGATATTCTCTTACTAAAGATTTTTCTCAATCATGTTGTTCATGTCCTTCTTATTTACTCATATGTTTTGATCATTGTTTTTTTTTATTATCAGATTTTAGTATTCTTATTAATAATAAAAATAATTTACTTCTCCTCTAAAACGGAACCTTAATTACGCCTTTGTTTAATTTTTGCCAGTAAATAATTCAATATAATGGCATATTTAAGATTTTACAATAGGCGAATACTTTACACCAAAATAATATTACTTGACGTTTGACCCTTTTAGCGACTTTTTGATAAGTCACAAATTCAGTACAAGTAATAAATAATAGTAAAAGTTAAAAAAATTGAATTTAAATAAATAGATATATACCAGAATGAATTGTTTTTATGTGTATGATTTTACAGTTAATTTGTTGTATACTATTTCAACTCTTGCTAAGCCGTTTTTAATCAACAATATGTTGAACCATCAAAATTTCTATGTTGTTGAAAATTTTTAACTAAGAGTTAATTTAGATATTGGTATAATTATTTTAAATTTCAATTTTAAACTTAAAGTAATGATAGTATATAATTTTTCACGATCTGTATAATAATTGATATATTTTTAAACAAGAAATAACTTCGTATATCTACGTGTCCCTTAGGCTATCCGATTAGTTATTATAAAAGTAAACGCAGCTTTGTTTTTTTTTTCAACTACCCTGGACTTGCCGAGGGAAAAATATGAACTCAAGGGGATCATCTTTACTGCATGATTTTACATAGATACGTAGTGAAGCGATGATTAGTTAAAAAGCTATAAATATACCCAAATTATTTAATTGGACAAAAATATATGCACTAAAGGATATAGAGTGATAAAGGGTTAACATTATTATTCTATAGTAACCTAGTAATGAAATATATATTTGTTGAAAAATAAGAAAGAAAAACAAAAATTTTGTAAAATTAAATTGCAAACATTAAAAAAATAACTGAAATAAAATATGAATAATCGAAATATAATGCTGGAATTGTTGAACACCAATACTTTTTTTAAATCAAAATAAGAAAATTTTTAAATTATAAGAACTAAAAAAGTATTTAGTTTATGTTGATTGGTATCAATTATTAATTAGTGTCTTGTTTCAAAAAATGATCAACAATAAATGATTATTTTATTATTAGTTTATATTAAAAATGCATGAATTTTTAGAAATTTTAAGTTTTAGCGGAGGCGGATTAAAAGGACTTTTTTTCTATATGAAATTAAATTTGCCATCAGCATAAATAACTTTATAAAAAATTAAAAATAATAATAAACCCACAACCGAACATTTTGTTAATCCTCATTTTTATTACTACTTAAGGCTACAAGCCAAGGCTCTGTTGTCTGCATAACGATTCAGTCTATCACTTGTAATAAGTCATAAAACAACGTATGAAAAGTCTATAGTCTAATAAAAATCTGCTAAATTCTTTATTTTTTTATCTTAAAACAAGATTTTTAATTGAAATATTTTAAATAAGTTTCAGATTTCTTTTAACAGATAAATTTTTGATTTTATATTTTTTATAATCTAATATTTACAATTTACGATGTATACTTGATGTATCATTTTTTATACGCTACAATGATACATTAAATTAATTGAAAAAAAATCAAATTTTTTTATCTTTTTATTATTAGAAATGGGCGTTATAATTACAGCACGAAAAATAGCTGGAAATATAAGTATGACTCTTGTAATCAAAGTTTGTGAAAATTATACAAAATTAAAAAACCAATATTCTTAAAGTTTAGTTTAAATTATTATGTATAAATTTAATTATTTTTAATGTTTTTCTAATTAAAAAAATATATACTCCATAATCCTGCGAATGTGTATATTTCATAAAGAACGATCTTTAAAATTCTATACCTATGCTCTTTTGTTTATTTATTTAAAGTTTTATTTATAAACTAGATAAATTAATGATTCCAAGATCGGGAAAATTGTAAAAGATGAGCTCTTCATAAAAAAATGGAAGGGGTTTATCAGGAAAACGCAATATATATTAATAAAGAGCTCCGTCTCATGGAACATTCCTATCATTTATGCTTTGCAACTACAATAAGAAATATTTCTAAGTCATTAAATATAATAAGAGTAAGTTTTGCCGTTCTCCTACATTGAAATAATAACTATAATTAGTAAAAATATACTAAATACAAAATTTTTTTTAAAATAAGTTTAATGTAACTAACAGATTTAAGTTATAAAAAAAAATGAACTAAATTTAGAAATAAAAACTATTTTTAATAGTAGACAAAATCATTGAGGACACTAATAATAGATTGAATCTCGATGAATATTCAATTATTATTGTCATTAAATATTAACAATTGTGAAGTTTAATCAAGGAGAGGGTTAGGTGTGAATTCCATGTCTGCTTATATTTATAATATCCATACATAAATAGAGAAATAAAATCTAAATTTTATATTTATTTACTTAGATAAATGCCTCTAAAAAATCTCAAACTATTCATTAAGAATCTATTTATAACCAATAATATAAATTAATTTATATAAGATTCAAATTGGCGTAAAGTGCGGGTAATACGGCCTAACTAAGCTTTTATTAAACCTTATTATTCGCGTATACTTTACTTAAAAATTATAAAAATACAATTATTTAGGACGTTCTTGAAGATATTTTTATTATTGTATAAAACATTAATTTTTTGATTAAATAAATCCTTATTTTAATTTCATATTATATTAAAATATGAAATTATAATAAATATTTAAATATATTTATATTATATTATTATAAAAAACTAAATAGGTTTTGCTTATAAGTTATGAACAAGATAATGATGATCAGTGCTGTTTTGGGCGTGTACACGAGTATACAGCGTATACAATTAACAATTTTTTTAACTAATGTATACTTTATAAAAATAATACTTATATACTATTTATATTAAGGTATACCCTAACATAAAAAAACATAAACACAATTGGTGTTTTTTATCAAAATATTTATAATAATCCAAAGGTTTATTAGTCTAATCGACTAGGTCGAATATAAAAATAGTTATTACAACGATTATTTTTTTATGTAAACAATAATTTACTGTTGGATGCGTTGAACTTTTCTCATTAAGTACAAATTCTGAAATGTTGAGTTTCTTCACTTGAACAATCAAACGAATGTGAAACGTGTATAGGAAACCCCTTTTATCTAATCTAGAGATGACGCCATGAATACACAATTTTAGGTTTTCAGTGTAAACTTATTATTATAAGAGAAGAAACAGAAATTTTGAATTTTGTATGATACATTTTATTAGATGTAGATAAGTAAAATTTATTTTTAAGATTTGACAGAATTATTATAAAATTTTAAATATTAAAAATAGCTTTATGAAATTTAGTTTCCTAAATTTAATTTTATTAGTAACATGGAATATGGTCAGTTATACAAATATAAATACTTGTTAACTAAAAGTGCTAATAACAGCTTACACTTATTTTCTAGTTTCATTCAGATGATTTTGGAATTATAAAATTGTAACTATTATCAAATAAAATTATACTCATCTATACTAAAAAATAGTTATTATTTGTTTTATTATTTCTAAAAAGTTTTGTTTCTTATTCGTAATGTCATAAATAATTTTCCATTTTTATAGATTATTTTAAAATTGAGTCGTTCAATATTGAAATGTCAAATAATAGTATGAAGATTTAGTAGTTCCTACTAGAAATTGAAGATATAGAGAAAAAATGTGTCCCTAATAATTGTTAATTGACATATGTAAGCATTTCATTTTGCTTCGATGTTAGTTAAAGCTATAAGCGTCATAATTTTAAAAAATTTCCTTCAATCTCCGAAATAAAGGGAAATGTTTCAAAAAATTTTAATTGTTTTAAAACAAACAATTTTCATATTTTTAGTTAACACTTTAAATAGTTATAACTTTTTGATAGCTATATGGATGAGATTTTGAACTGAACTGTGAGATTTGTATTAATAATAATACAAACGACATACATTTTTTGAAAATTAAGCACGTCAAATTTTTTTCTTTCTAAATTTTGATAATGTTTCAAGAAGTTTGACTTCTTTAAACCTGCATTAAAATAAACAATAATACAATGTACTTTAAAATGAAAAAAGAAAAACTATTCGAAATCTCGATATCTAGGAGTTATTAGACTCCAAATAAAGTAAAAAAAACATACAATTTTCGACAAAAATAACCGAATTTGAAATATTTTGTACGGCAATAGAATAACGATATTATTCTAACTTTAATAAAATGTTAAATTATTAAGTGCATTACATTGTTAAAAAAAGCAAAACGTTCAGCAACTTTTTTTATTTTTTTTTAAATTATTATCAAAATATTTTACGACAGTGATTTATGTCTTTGTTAGATATCAACCAATAAGAATCTAAAAAAATGTCTAACTCTACTGCGCTATACTTAACTTTTATATTTATTTAAAATTTATAACTATTATGGTTACTCTGATTAATGACCTCACAAATTAGGTTTTGGAAAACATTTTTTGGGTAAAAATTACTATTAAATTACGCCACAACAAATTGTTTTTATAAATTTAATCGAATTAAATGAAATTTGAGAAGGCCTTATTTTTATATTTATTTTCTAATATCAGTCAACTTTTGATAGATTATCTTTTATATATATATATAAAAAAAAAAATGAACAACATAATAGAAAAATAATTTTTCTATTTTAATATTACGATACTAATATTTAAAGTATTTGAATATTACTAATGTTACACGTATAAAACGAATAACAAAATTAAAAAAAAAGATTACTTATGCCAATTTTCATTTTAGTAAATAGTACTTCAACAAATAAAAATGTAATATTTTGACATTTTGAATAATTTTTTCAATTAAGTTTTGTATTTAATTTGTAAATTAGTATACATAATATTTTACAACATAGTTGAAAAGCTAAAAATTTAATTTTAACTTATAGTTGTAAATAATAATAATTAAATAGTTGTTTTTTACTACTAATAATAATTTTACACGGTGAATTGAATTCAATTTGCTTTTACGCTAAAAGACTACGGAAAATAATTTTACTCGTTTTTCTAACACCTGATGACATATCATCAAGTTGAATTTCCATATAAATATGTAATTTGTATTGTGTCAAATTTTGACTTTCTTATCAAATATTTTACAACGAAGAGCGATTAAGTATAACTTTAAATTTAATTATATGTATCATGCCATTCATGATAAAATATGACGGAACAAACAGTACATAAATGCAATTAATTAATTTTTTTTTAAATAATATACTTATTATTTATTTTACTCAAATAAACATTACACACAAGAGCGTAACTAAATGGTATATAAGTATACGATAAAATGAATAGAACTAACAAATTTATGTATAAATTATACATAAAAATATTGAAATCATCGTATAAACTTTTCAGTAAAATAATTATGATCAACTATGAATTTCTCGACAAATATGGATTATTGTCAAGTTTTTAGTAAAATCCTCATATCATAATACTATTGTGTTTGCATTTTATGTAGTACAATAAACATTTAAATGTACAAATACCTAAGCTATTATATTTAACTGGTCATTGTTTGTAGACGCATTAAAGTATTATACATGATATAATAAGTTTACTAAAATGATTATTCTTATTAATTATAATTTAGAAACATAAAAATATTATTGTAATACCTACAAAATACAATACAATAAAGGCAAATAATATCGTTCTTAAGCTGCTCCATCAAGGGCAATTTAAGAATTTATTTATGAAAATGCATCGATAGTGGCATGACATTATATTATGATTCTTCTGCAGTATTCAATCTAATAATTGGGTTTTCAGTAACTTCTATGTTTCTCTATCACTAGCCTTCCTCTTCAACTCTTGATATGAATAAATTATGATTAAAAAGAATAAATTTTGTATTAAAGACTTCTCAGTTGATAAAATAATCTAATCTTTAAGTTTATGTTGAAATATAGGATACCGAATGATGAAAACTAACACATGAGAACAAAAATAAATACATTTTTTTTTAAATAGCCAATTTTGTCAGTTTTTACAAAAATTTTTATTAGTCGATAATAATTTTAGGATAAGTATTTATTGAATTACACACATTTTAATAAATAGAGTATGTAGAGTGGGTAGGCGTACTTGTTTAGTACTTATCTTAAAGTTATCATTAATCCAATTTTATGTAAAAAAAGGACTAAAAAAGACCTTTTAAATTTTTGAAAAAAAAAAAATTTTATATTTTTTTTTTTACTAGTAAATTACTAATAAAAATTATTTATTAATAAATAAAAAAATATGTACATATAACGTAATCTAAGCAGGCAATAATTATTATAAAAGATTTCAATGAAATGATAATCGGAACAAAAGTTATTGGATTTGCCATATCTTGTGACCCATCTTGTGTGCATATATATATTTATATAAAATCACAGACATGGTTAATTAGTTTTTATTATTATTTCAAACAGTTAAGAGTTAATTTATGTTAGAACCGTTTAATTACCAAAACTAGACATAAAAAAATGAATTATATTTTTCAAATATAGCTATGTAACTAAATAATAACTAATAAAAATTTATATTCATTTGTAGTGTAAAATTGAAAATAATATAATAATGAACGGCCAAACAATAGTAACTATATGTATTTCGGCTTGGATGGTTTTGAACATACTGCCAGGCGCAATTAATGCAGATGATCATTTTTTTCAAACAGGCGGTAGATTTGGAAAGAGACACGATATACAAACATCAGGTAATTAAAAGCTAATGGATTACTATTAGCTACTGAATATTGATATTAATATTATCAATATTGATCTGTTTCAGTACTAATTTAATCAAAAACTGGAATCAACTCATTATAAATGACCTATTAAAATTAAATACATCTGTATTACTATGAGTAATCAATTTATCAAATTTTATTTTAATATCCAGCCTGAACCTTTTAGAAAAATTTTCTGAATTAAATTGTATAGGAATATTACAAATTAATTTTTATTATATTTATATTTATATTACACGGGGTAAAATGAAACAGTTCGATTTTTTAATTTTCAGTGCATTAAAAATTTTTAACATTTTATCATAATAGAATTTATTAATAGTGACAAAAATATTACAATAAAATATTAATTCTTCTTTTTTCTCGCATTATTCCCAACTACTTAAAGTCAGCTACCATTATCCTAACCTTCCACATGACATGATCTCCCACATCATCTATGCTCACATCAGCCGTCCTCATATCACATTCAATAACATCCCTTCATCTCTTTTTTGGTATTTATCTACCTTTTCTACCTTCAACATTCATTTCTATATTTCATTTCGATATTAAAATAATAATTACACAGGAAATATTAACAAATTAATTAATTAAGCCAATAAACAATCAATAAATAATTATTTTGTATTATTTTCCATAATTTATAAAATACAATGTTTAATGTTTTATAACTTGTTTTCCATTTGGAGCAAAATAGGGCATGCTGCTTGGAGCATTGTGGGCCAGTCCTGTTTTTTGTCACACAGTTATCTTATAATTATTAATTATTTAAATTATTATTGTCAATTTTATAATTTAATGAAATTAATTAATAATTACTTTTAACAGATTAATTTTAAATTGGTCATCATGTTGAGTGTCACAATAAGTTGATCGTTTTATGTGTAACATAATGCTTCAGGTTTTTAAATACGCTATTTTCATAAGGTTGATAAGTGTATATTTATAGTTTTATGGGTAAGGTGGGGTGAGTTGATGAAGTGGGCCAAGTTATGACCCTTAGGGTTTATTTGGATCTCTTATAGAATGTATTGACTTTATAAAATTGAAATTTTGTAGGAATACTACTTAATATATTGAGATCAATTGGTAAAAAGCTCATTCAATAATAATTATTATTTGAAGAGTTATTACTTATTAGAAAATAAAGTTAGATTTATTATCTTACTTCAAGCATAGGACAAGATATTTTTTAAAGGAGTAAGTTGATATATCTTAACTAACTTTAGCTAATGCATAAAAATGTATTTTATATGTAATTTCCAACGAGGGAGTTATCTCCTGTCTCCTTGAGAAATTTTGAATGTATTAACAGTTTTTAAATAAGTCTGCCAATGTTAAAATATTTAAAAGGGAAAAATTAAAAGAAGGTCCTGATGACCTCTTAAGATATGCTCCTGGATAATTATTAGGTATATTTTTTCAGGAACTGAAGAAATTCAACTAATTATAAACAAAATATTATACAAATAGAAATATATAAATAAAAAAAGCATTTTTTTAAATTTTATAGATTTATTTCAACACTCTATTTGATGAAATACTTTTATTTCAACGTAGGTGTACGAGAAACGATTTAAAAATTACATTTAAAAAAAATTTCTAAAATTATCACCTAGCGCTTATACTTACTAACTCCTTTATTTATTTAAACTGAAAAATTTACAAACATTTTCATTACATTTTCCATTACAGAAATACATTATACATTGCATACTTCCTAAGTCATTTGAAACTAAATGGGCGGTAACGTTACACATGCTACAGGTGTCTTTACACAACAAATTCTCAATGTAATACGACCGTCTAAAGTACCTAATGTCTATGGTCGAATAACCAAACATAATTAATGTCCTTTAAATCTAAACAACAGAATATTCTAAGTAGTGTGCACTGCAGATATTTTTCGATAAAATTGTTTTTACACAGACTATATAATTGATTACAATCGATTATTTAAAAGTACATAATTATTATTATAATTACCGTTAAAAAAAAAATATATCAAACGATTTTTTTTTGTTCATTAAAAGTAAATTTATAAGATTAATCAGTTGATAATATTATTAAAATAAAATTAATATAATTTATATGATAGATTAAAATGACAATTTTTTTATCCTAAAAAATTATAGTCTTCTTCTGCTGGCATTTATTACTCTTAGAGAGTTTTTGCCGCCATCTCAAAAAAAAATTATAGTAATTATTTTAATTAGAACTTGTCTATACTTTTTCGTATGAATTTTACATTAATTTCTATCATGAATACGAGATTGTATATTTTAAAATTAAGCAGATTGACAGTTTATTTCACATATATTTATGCTGGGTTGCATATAACTTTAACAGAGTGTTATCCCGTTTTATTAGTATGGGGTACAAATCCGTTAAAGTTTTATGCAACTCTAGTATCGTATCGTACTGTTAAGTCAGCGATTTATATGAACATCATATTGCATTAAATATATTTTAGTAAACCATAATATTCTAACTAGAAAATTAAATTTATCATTTCAATTAATACCAAAGTATAAATTGAAAAAATTCAATCATATGCATAAGTTAATAAATTTGTCATATTATTGATTATATAAAGTTTATCGAAAATATTTTTAAGTAATAAATTTAAAATAATCCAATTCCACAACTAAAATCAATGCTGATATACCTATACATATTGTATAAACTTAAGAAGCTGAATTGTACCGAATTATAAAACTCATTAGAAAAAGTTACAAAATATTTGAACTGAAATGTTAGATGGAATTCAGTACAAATATTGATTTTTTTTATTTTTAGCAAAATAATAACAAATTTAGATTTAGATTCAATTTAATATGATTTTTATTACAGACATTAAATTAAAACAAAATGTTTAATCTAAGTGAACAATAGATTTTTAATTGAATATAAGAAATAAATAGTGAAGTTTTTAATAAAAAAAACTTGTTTTTAAGCTACTTTTTTTATTACGTATTTAGTTATATATATTATAAATCACGTTAATGTGACTGATAATAACATAGAGTATTAACGGGTTATGAATTTTTAAGGTGAAAAATTCACTGAATTTTTACGATCGCAAGTAATGGAAAATGTACCTCCAAGAATAGAACGAGGATTTTACATCTCTAGATATGGAAAACGAAATAGTAACTCAATTTCAGGTAAAAAGTGTGTATTAATATCATAACAATATTACAATTTAGTTTTAAAATTAAACGGTCTACGTAGCCCAGTCGGTAATAAGTTGTGCCGCAAATATTAGTTACCGAGGGTTCGATTCCGTTGCACTGGACTATATAGATTTTCCTATCCTGTCTGGCACAAGTAATATCTTTTAGAAAAGGACGTTAAACATGAAAAAAAATCAATCTCAGAGTATTTAGAGTAATAATACTCATTAATGGTTAAGGAATCTCCTCCTTTGGGGAGGCCACTATGGGCTTAATAGGCTTAAAAATGCGAAAAAAATTATTATTTTATAACACTATTCTTAATGTTGATTTGCAAGCCACTTAAGTCGACTATAAATTAGCATATCGCTTTCAATAGATTTAATTGAAGCGATCTGTCATGATAAATATTGTAATTTTGTTTATTTCTTAATATGAAGCTATTATTTACCGTCATAGTTGATCAGATTGTAAATTATAATAAAAAGAATATATAAAAAAATTAAAAAAATAAATTTAAATAATAAAACAAAATTTATTGTGTTTTTTGTAAATAAACATGCTAACAATTTCACATCCATGTTTAAATTTTGCATAATCTGTACTTCTACTATAATTTTATGATAGTATCATGTTAAAATAAATAAAATTCTAATAAAAATAAATAATAAATATAGTATAATTATTTGTTATTAAAGGAACAGAATATTTATCAATATGTCTGCCTTCATTTGGAATATCATGCGACTTAGTAGAATCAACAAATTTACTTCATTGTAAAAGGTAAAATTTTAATAACTTTGTTAATATTGTAAACAAGTTGCTATATAACAAAATTATTAGTACTTTTACAACTAAAAACTTAAATGATTATGTTTTTTTAGAATTCATCCAATGGAATGTTCCAATATAAACTCTGGTGAAGACAAAATTTTAATGAAGTATGATAATGAACAGTCTTAAAAACTACTAGAAAAACTATTTTTGTTATCTTCATAGACTACACTAAATATTCATCAGATTATGAATTAGGTACTCTATGTACTTTTAAATTTAAGTAATCATGTATCTAAAACTTGTAACATTTTTAAATATCAAAATAAAATAGGTTTGTTTTGTTTATTCACTATATTTGAAGCAATTTAATATTTCACCAATGGCAATACTTTCAAGGCTGCATTTAGGAATTCTGACTTTACCTTATTACTTAGCTCATCAAAAAAAATGTTTTCTAAGTTTTTTTAACTTGAATGAGCAAAAAAATAACACTAATTTATATTGCTTCATATTTTAATTGAATTTGAGATAATCATAGGAATCCCCTATATGCAGACCTGAGTACTTTCAATTTAGTATTTCAATGTAGACACATTGAAATTCCTAAGTAAAAATAATACTATAAAAAAACACCAATATATTCTTTATTTGGGACACTTTATAAATGATGAGATTAATATATCATTATTAATTATTATAATATTGATAAATAGCATTTTATGATTAAATTAATAAGTTATAAACATACAATAATTGCCAATGATAATAGAATGTACAATCAAATATTAGTACCATAAATTTTTTTATCCTTAACAAGTCAAATTTTACTATGTTTTACTAGAAATACTCCAAACTTATGAATGAAATGTTTTAAATATAATATTATTTAATTTCAATAAATAGTTTCTTGAAAATATTAATTATTGGATTTCAAGGTTTTCACTTTATTTATGATTTCATGGCAAATTTTTTTATATCTGCTTAAGATCTTGTCTTTATTTTAAACACTACGTTAATAATTTAATAAAAGAATGTGATTAAACGTTTGAATTTTTTTTTATTATTATGTATTATTATTATGGTATATTTAACATTGAAAGGTAAATTTTTACAGAATAACAATATATAGAATATTAATAGAAATTTTAGAACAGTAAAAATTATAGTGTTCAAATATTGACTGTTTGCAGACTAATTAGCGTTGGCAACATTTTACAAAAATTATTTGATTTGATATATTTGTAGGTTACTTTTATGTTTTTAGGAAAAAAACGGTTGATATAAAGTTTGCCTACCCTAATTAGCCTGCAAACCATTAATATGTAATAAGAAATTTCTAATTTTTTTTTAATTCTTTAGTAAACTCATAATTAAAACATTGATGGTAAAACACAGCTAATTTAAAGGAATGTGGTCATTATGCAATCTTAATCTTAAATATTTCTATTGATATTACTTAAAATAATTAGAAAATACAAAAACAAGCATTTTATTTAAAAAATATATTTATTATTACGTTACTTTAAATTTATCCTAAACATAAATATTGAGTTTTTTTAAATTTTGGGCCTCATATCACTTAATAACATCAAAAACTGGATTTGTTAAACCATAGTTAAGGAAATTTAAATTTTATTATATTTACCACCAAGTAACAATAAAAAAAAAATTGTCATTTAGTAACTTTTATGGATCAATACTAAAAATAAATTTTAAGACTACAAACATTTTTATAATGAAAATAATGTAAGAAAAAATAGTCATTCACAGTTCCTAGAAGTGGAATAAAATTTTACAAGATAATTGTAACCCATTTAGATTAAAAATATTTAAAAATAAATTTAATTAATTAATTTTGATAATATTTACTCATTTTAAATCTGTATTGAGATATTATTGAAAACTTATAGTAAATGATAGTTATAACCAATTTAAATTATTTTAGCTAAACAAATCATCAACAAATAGTAGTGAGATATGAACATTATTTAATGAGTAATGAACTAATATAAATTAAAAATATACCATATTTTTACTCAATGATAAAGTTTTAATGAAGAAATGAATAAATAAAAACTTTTTTAACAAGGTTTTTTATGCAAAATAACAAAATATTTATATAGTTTATTGAATTTTGTAATTTTTTAATTCAATATCATATTTGATAATAAGTGTATAAAGAAGTTAGCTGATACATTTTTTTTCTCAAAAAATAAGACAATTACAAAAACATTAAAGCAAATCAAAATTATATTTATTGTTCAAATTTAATAAAAAAATATATTAAAATGTAATTTATTTCAAAATAAGTAATATATATTCTTTTAGAGGAAAATTGGATTTTTACCTTAAATTAAAATTTTTTCTATAAATTCCATGTCAAAAATTGTGTCCTTAAATAAAATTATGTCATTACACAATATTAATTAATAAAAATATTATAAATCAAAACAAAGAAAATTCAAGTCTTACGAAATTGTTTTATAAATTAAAAATAGTATTCTTAGAGTGAAATAAAAAATACAATTTTAGCATTTTTTATAATATTATAATGTATTCAATTTTAGCTTGATGAATTTATAACTACTAAATTACATGTAAAAATGGTCTAAGGTTTTTTATTTATAAACCTTTGCTCCATAATTATAAAATTAAACTATTTATTTTAATATTGGAATCTTATTCCAATTTACTCTAGTATTGCTGTTAATCACATTCCTTTTTAGTGAAACTTGCAATGATAATTCAATTATATGAATAAGTTAATGTTTTGTAAAAAATTCCATTTATTTTTAGTCTATGAGTACCATTTATCCTAAGAAAACAAATTATTGTTCATAATTTAAATAACTGATGTCCAAATATGTTAAATAAAGAATGATTCATTTTTATTAAAACAACATTCATAAAAATAAAACTAAAATTATTTTGGTTTTTTTTATGTTCGGACCTTGTAGTTTATACAATTTTGTTTGACAAAAGAGCAGCAAAGTAGTTTCCAAGTCAAAAACATATCTAGTCCATCTGAAATAAGTAAACATTTTAAAAATTGAGAAAAAAGTTACTTAATGATATAATTTTTACTCTCAGCTAACTCTTGTATACCCTAACATTAATTTCTATGATAATATTGAATTATACTAAATTTTTATCTTTAAGATAAATTTAAATGAATAAGAAAAATTAATCAAATCAAGTACAAGTTTTTCATTTTTAATCATTTTGGCAAATGCTACTTTTAAAAAAAAGTTAAGTACAGTAAATAGCAATGTGGGACGTATTTCATTTTTTAATCATATAATATATTAAATAAAGTATCATTTAGTTTAGTTTTAAATAATTTAGATGGTTCATTGCTATGATTTTTATGTTGATAGGTAATAATTCATACACATTACATTTTTAGATCATTTTTCTTTTTTTTAACTTAAAAGAAAGTAAAATCGTATAAATTTAAAGAACAAAAGAGTTTTGAAACATTATCAAAAATTGATAAAGAAAAAAATTTGAAATGATGATTTTGCCTTTTTTAGTACTTTTATTAGTGATAGTATTTTAAAAATATATATGTTGAAATTTAGAAAATAGTTTCACTGTGTGACCTATTAAGGATCATTCCCAATTTTTTACTAAATAATGATTATTATATAAAAATTTACTTTTAATACTTTTAAGAATTATAGTAAATATCAAGTTTATTATAAGAAAAACCTATTTCTAAACATACAGTTGGATGGAAATTTTCGAAAATTAAATGGGAACCTATTATTATTTTTTGAATATTAAATGATAAATGGATTAAATAAAATTTTGACTGATCTATAAAAATATTAGTATTATTAATTATAACTTTACTATGTATAGTTTCATCTAAATATTTTTTTTTAATCTTTTGACAAACCATTGATTAAAATCAGTGTGATTTTGTAGTGACACAAATATGCTAGAGTATAACAATAAGTTATGAGAAAGTTATAATCATTAAAATTAAAATAAAGGTAATAATTAAAAACTTACCTGTCAAATTTAGTTATTTATTAGCGGCCATTTTACTAAAATTTCTATTGTACTTCTTATCTATAAATTGAGAGTATGTTTGACAACTTATGCGAGTATGCTAAAAATTCAGTTGTGCATAATCATCTTATTCTAAAATATTTTAACATTATTATTTATAATATAACNAGTTGTGCATAATCATCTTATTCTAAAATATTTTAACATTATTATTTATAATATAACTATGTACAGAGTTAAAATAATGCTCTAATAATTATACAATATAAATAATTTCAACAATTTTTCATTTTACTTATTTTATTGTATTTATTTACATAAATAAAATTTTTTGTTACTTGAATCATTTGAATATCAAGATTTTACAACTTTTTTTATAAAAGTAATATAAACCATTCTATAATGAGTTTTATATAAATATTTTATGAAATACAAATATAAAAATACTTATTCTGAGTATATTAGTAGGTACTTATTCATATATGGGAAACATTTAAAACTTGTTGGAGTACAATGATAAGGCATATTACTTTAGAAATTCTGTATCATTAGTTTTCTAAATTAATTTTTTATTTTTATGTAGAATTTTAAAACATTAATTTACTAAAATGTGAAGATTGAGAAAAGAAATTATTGAAAACAAATCTGTCAATGTCAAGTTATTTGTCCTTTAAAATCATAATTGAACATTAAAAAACAAAAAAGTACTCAAGAAATCATTGGTTTCAGAGAAAATGGGCTAATGTTAATATAGTAAACTTTTCAGCAGTGTATTTTAAAAATTCGAAGATACACTCATGTAAAATGGAATTTTTTTATTTAAAATTTATTTTATACTTTCATTATAGAATTTTATACGTTTGCTGAATTTTTTAATTTGACTGGATATTTTTTTTTGTTTAATTTTTTGAAAGATTTTAAATAATATTAAAATATAATTCTAATATATACAATAACTAAAAATTATCACATAAACAAAATAAGTTAATATGTTAATTAATTTAGTTATACATTTTATTTCAATTAACTTCGAAATTGATGTATAATATTTTTTAATGAAGCACATCATTTAAACAAAAAAATTGGTTCTAGATAAATTTTTCTATAATTTTTTATGGTATTGTTTTCGACTTGTACTTTTTATACGTGATACAAGTAAAAGTATTAAGTATTCTACAAGATGTTATATTATAGTAAATTTGATGTTCAAATCTATTTCAGGACATATTATGATATTTATTTTAAATTCATTCGTATATTCCATAAAATTCAGCCCTAATCCTCTAACATTTCAGTAAAATTTACCCGACTACATTTATAATATAAATGCAATTTAAATCTTAATACTTAGTTCACTTAAATTCTATAAAAAAAAAACTAACTTTTTAATATATATTTAAATATTAAATAAATAATTGTTACAAAAATAACTTTTCAATTTTTACAATCATAATATTTTACATAGTCGCTTTTATTGATAAGTATATATTACTATTTTTAAGTTAAAATAGATAAATATCATAATAAAACCTTTATATTTCTCAGATGAGGTTATTTGAATAAAATATTTGGCATCTTTCGTTTTACTTTATGTTTTTTCACCCGAGTAAATATTATTAAATAATGGATAAGTAGTTCAGTATACACACAGATTTGTGTTTTATCGTTATTTTTATTTATTCATAATAAATAATTTAAGCTAATGATATACAAAGTAAGTACTTTATACATATTTTAAAATAATTGTTCTAGAACTTTAATCTCGGATGTCATATTTTGTATAAATATGAATATTTAATTTTACTATCATATTTCTTATTATATTTATAATTAAACTAAAGAAAAAATTAATAAAAAACGGTAATTTTTAATTAATTAATAATCAACTTAATTTTTAACAGATGAGATAGATTTCAATTCGGTATAATGAATTCATATTAATAAATATATTCTAAGTTTAAAATCGAAACAAAAAGTTGAGAATTATGTTTAAAAAAAATTATATTTTATTTTTGATCTATTAAAAAACTTAAGCAATAATAGTTGTTTGATTAGGTTTTATAATGAATATTGTTTACCAAACTTATATTAAAAATTAAAAATCATAAATTAATAATAAATACATTTTATTAAACTGACTTGTTTATTAAATTTAATTCATCAAAGAAAACTTACCAAATGGAACATTATCGAACTAAATAGAAATTATTCAAACAGTATAGATTTATATATTCAATAATAATAATAATTATATATCATGATATTAATAGGATTACTAAGAAAATGGTGACTAAGATTTAAATAATTAATAGATTAAACAAATTTAAATCTGTATTTTACAAATTAAAATTTTATAATAAATACATAAATAATATAAATAAATAAAAATAAATAATGAACATATTTTCACGAGTTCTACATATTTTGTACCTAGGAAAAAAATGTAATTTTTTAATAAATTATTTTAAGTTTTATCACATTTGCCAAAATTATAATTTTTTTATAGTATGCGTAAATATAAACTAAATTTTCGAATGAATCATTTACTGTTAACAAAATATATATTATAAATATTGAGCAAATCAAGTTAGATTGAAATCTCCACGATTTATTATGGCAAAAAAATTACATCTTACTCGGCTTGCCGAGTTTGACTGTAAATTTAATCGCAGTAGAAAGTTCGAAAATTCATATAATTAAAGATGGGAGTACAAAATTTTACAGTACTATTGCGTAATTATTCTCTAATTGACCAGACAAAATGTTTGCTACTGTCAAAACAACTAATAATAAAATATGTTTGAATAATTTATCATATATTTTCAATAGTAAGTAAAAAAAAGTAATAGTTAATACTCGCGTAACGTGAAAATAGTAATGAAATTTACTATTATGCGTACTCGAATAAATGGATGGCGATAATTTCATCTATATTATGGCTTTTAGGAATTTTGTTGTAAGTAAAAATAAATAGATATAAAAGGTGGGGTCACGACACAAATAAATATTTAAAAAAAGTATAATATTATTCTTTGGGTTGTCGAAGGACCTTGATTATATTAAAGTGTCCAAGTGATTCGACACTAGAAAGGGAGGACTTATTAGACTTTGAGTATTATGCTGTTTGCCTTTGTCCATTGTAAGCCATAAATTGAGCTTGATCCTGAGCTTGAGTTGGATTGTTTCTAGTAACACGTCTGACGAATCTATTGACATCGTCACTCGATCTCTGACCGGTTATAGTTGGCTCAGTCACAGCAATGCTTCTTCCCCAAACGCCGCCACCCCAACCGTGATGATCTTCGTATTCGGAATGTTCTGGTGGCTCATAGTGATGTTGATGGTGAGCGTTTTCGTAGTAGACAACTTTGTCGTGATGTTGATGTTTGCTTTTTTTGATATCGTACCAAATCTTGAATGTGTTGGATAAGGCGTAGATCATGGCCACAATCAAGAACTTGCTCATCAAGATAGATTGGATCATCATGATAATCATCTTAATTTTTTGTTTGAACAAGAAGATTCCAAACAATATTTTAAGAACGAATTTTTTTATTTCTTTTTGTATCTTCTTCTTTTTGTGTCCTCTTCCTAAAAACCAATAGTATTTTTATAAATTACAGAACACAAACGAAACATTTTTATTTACATAGGTCAAATATTATAACGATTGTATGGCTGGACACGTGGTCAACATGTAAACATATTGTCGAAGAATGAAATATAAATTATTTATAAAATCCCTGGAGACATTTACAAAAATATTCAAATACTGTAGGTCGTTGATCGGCAAAACAGTGGCGGATACGTGACCTATATTACCGAATTAATTTATCTCGATCTACCTGTCCGGTTACCGACCGGTTTCCGTATGGTATACATGTCTTCTTCTGTTGGACAAGAACTAGTTGACCTACATGAGGCTCATACATGCGTTTATGGAAATGATATCGTACCCTTGACAATGACTGACTAATATCGGATTCCCCAAAGAAGTAAAACGGGTATCCGTGACGACGCGTACACGTAGAGTATAAGAATAATGATATTAATCTAAGTAAACTAGACCTTATCCTTATAAATATTGTTCTATGTAAAATTATGCAGTTGAATTACTGTCAGTGTTTATTAATTAAACGTGTTTCGGTTCAGCGACAAAGTTTAAAAAAATTTAATCGTATTATCAAAATAATTTACATGTATTCAAACAAGTTTTGCAAATATTTATTTTAATGATCCGGTGATTTTTGACGATTTTATAATTTTACGAATTTTGATATTTTTATTATTTTCTAAATCCGGTTATGCTTTAAAATGTGTATTAAAAAAGAGCTTTCGTATCAAGCGAACTATCTATTATCCGCGACGGCTAAATATCATAGTATTAGCGTTTGTCACAAACACATACATCTTTTTAATAATAATAATTTATATTTCAAAAATAAAATACTTATTATATGCTCAAATAAGAATAGGACACTGGTACGTATAAGGTGATCCGTATCCGTTTCTAACATATAATTTTCAAAAATATTAGATAAAGGGTAATTTTATTTCTTCAGAAGTTATTAGTTTCCCAACTACTTTATTCATAATAAAAAATATAGTTCCATCATCCCCTTTTCCCCCTTAAAATTGTATCAGCTTGAGGAAAGCGTTAAGAGTTAATGAGGAGTAGCTTCTTTTCTTAAAATAATTATGTCACATTGTCATCTTTTACGCTTATTATTATTGTGTAGATTATATAATTAAAATAAAGACAAAAAAAAATAATAAACTAAGGAAATGACAGGTGGATAACAACTTTTGAACCCGTATTTTGGAAGTTATTTACACTTAAAATAAAGAATGGATGTGAAGAGGTATATTTATTTCATTCTATAAACATTTCTGAAACACTCTTCTTCTCCCGCCATAATAAATAAGTACTTATATATTTTGAAATAATGGTTTAGAAGTTTTTATCGACCAGTTATTTTCTAGATAATTTTCTTGTTTTTAAACTAGTTAAACGTGTATATTTACATTAAAAATAACGAAAATTGATAAAATTTTAAGGGAATATTATTATATTTTAATGTGCTAATTAGAGCGGGTAAGATTCTAATACCTTCTAAAAAGAAAAAAATATATTTTATAGGATTTTTTTTAAGATAATGCATGAGATATAGTTGGAGGATCATTTGTATAGATAGTATAAAAACATTCTGAGTATTTCAAACGCCTTATAATGTTATTTAAAAATCTGTCTAAAGAGATTTTAACTCTCAATACTTAATCATTACTTTTCTTTTAATTCCTATAACAGTAATGTTTGTTAGCGCAAAACATGTTTCATTAATGACTAAATGATGATACTTTAGATGAGTAAAAAACAGTAATTATTTTTTGGAGAGTTACATTGCACATGCTTACTCTGACTAGATAAATATTCGCTTTTATTTTAATTTTGTTATACCTAATTTACGCTCTGATAATTAATGTTAATGGCAAAATTGCTAACATACTGAGTATAAACAAGAGCACGTTTTTGAGCTTTGAAATTCAATAGGTTGACCACAACTCGATAAAATCGGTTAAACCCGACAATTAAATCTAACTCGCGTAAATTTCATCAAGCAATATTAAACATAAAAATTCACACGTTCCAATATCCTTATAAAATAAAATATTAACTTTAACAGTAAAGAACAAGTGCAGTACCGTTTTTTTTTATTTTTTTTGAATGATGATTAAGCGCACCGTTAAATTATTTTCAATTCCCGTTCACACAGCACTCTTAGAAACACGAGAACGATTAATTTCATAGTTACGGTATCTAAGTGGTCCTATCGACAAATATAAGCGTCCGTATATAGTTATTTTTAGTATGTTTCGATATATTTTCATCAAGTTCAAGAACGACTTTCGCCCGGATTTCCAATGGACATAAACAGTATATGAGATATATCCGGTTGTTATTATTGCAGTGTACACATTATCTCCTAAACAAGTAATTTTACCGGTTTGGAGTAAAAACAGCCTACGCAGTTTTATTAACGGTGTAATACTTTCGCGGTAGTGGTTCTGAAGAAGAAAAAAGTCTATAGGACCTAAGTAGTTCTATTTAAAATAGTGTCTCTATGCAAGTTCCACAAAGAAAACTCGAGCTTCTAATGAAATGAATTTCCCTGGTCAATGCTAAATGAGAATACCCCAAAAATATTTTTCCAGACAGGATTTCAACGTCGATGTTCTCGACACCCACTGAACTATTTGATGTTTATAAAATCGCGTAAAGGTCGTTAAAATTTCAAAATTTAAGTGTCATCTTCGAGATGAGACTCGACGCAATGAGAAACACATTTCAATAAATTTATAATTAATTTTTATGTCAGACACGGTATAGTACTTTGTTTACGAACGTATTATGTCTGAATGCGTTTTTGAAACGGCTCTTTTATTGTCCATATCATTCGGTGAAAGTGGCGAATCTTCTCTTTTGTAGGCGTCAATTATGGTTTTAACGATTATTACAAAAATAAACCTCTAATTCGTGTTTGTCTATTTTTGTGTTATCAATAGTAACGCAACGAGTGCGCGATTTCACTGTCGAAAAATTCTAAAGTGTTTTCTAGTAATCGTATGACTGTATTTTTTAATTGGACATTTAATTGATATAAAATAAATGTTTAAAAAATACGATATATACTGATCTTACTCAACAAAAAATGTTTTCATTTTTTTGGTACTCTCGAATTATTAGACACCTTACAAAACATTACTTACGCTTAAGGTTACATGATATTGTTTCGTGGATCAATATAGTTATCTAAGTGCATTGTAAACTATACGAATGAATTACAGGATATAATGGACTTTAACAAAAAACAAAAATTAAACTAGTAGCATTTTAAACATAATTAAATTTCATTATTTAAATTTTATAATTTTCTTTTTTGGATTTTTCTTTTACAGACTTTAACATTATTTTATTTTACAAATGAAATTATAAATTTTAATTTAAACTAAACTTATGAAATTCCTATAAACAAATCTACATCACGTTTAAATTTTTGAACTTTTGAAATTATAAAACACCCTGAGCTACTCGGTTAAACATTTAAATTAAAATTGAAAAATAATAGTGGATTATTATAGGATTTAAACGTAAATTTTTAAATCAAGAGGATTTAAATTATAAATTTTGTAAATATTTTCTTATCAAACTGGAAATAACAACTATGATGTAAACTATTCAATTTCGTGGTACAAAATGTTTAAGAGATATTCGTGTCTAGAAATGGGTCGACTTTATAGATTTTAGATACAATCGTGTTTATGATAGGCAGAGAATAATGCGCAATTGTAAAAGTATTTGTTCTGCACATTAGTCAACTAATGACAACTGTTATTTTCATTGATGAGCTAAGAAACACGATCCCCAATAACGTGGTTTCGATTTTCGAATCGGAAAAACAAATTAAAATACACCTCGTGGCTATTATATTGCATTGTATCGAACATGTACTCATTCTCAAACGTATTTGTACATCAAATAAGTTTGTGTTTTAGAATGGTCGAAATAAAACTGAAAGCATTCAATTAGGCGTTCTCTTTTTTATTACAAAATTTCTGTTGACTTTATCACTAAAGAATCGTTTACAAAATAGTAGTTATTAGTGAAAGAAACTATATTGATAATTATAATAGTGGTCAATACAAAAAAAGTATACTAAAAAGTCAATACTAATACTACTCATTAATAACGAAAACAATTGTAGTATAAAAAGATTCTTTAGCAATACATAAAAATATAAAAAAAAATTCTTATGTTGTGTACATTATAATTGACAAATACTATTCTGATATAGCGTTTAGACGAAAGTCTAAACATTCTTTCATTTGAACATAATCATATCACAAAATGACCAATTTGTTCTCTAATTAATTCACGTACAAATTGGTCACTACTAAAGTACACGTGTCTATATGGAAATGTAAATGAGAGATAGATGAAAATACGGACAGCGAGTTCAGACAATCAATATGACTCTTCATAAAATAGAAGAAAATTAAACCATCCAAGTTGACCAATGAAATACAATTTTTCATTAACTATTATCAAGTTATATCAGTTAAAAAAACTACGTACCTTCATCGACTCCGTTGATGGCATCTAAGGCATCTCCGGTGGATGGTGATTGTTCCTCGTCTTCACCGGGGAAAATTCGTGCTATTCCGTAAGTGATAAGGTCACCAATTTGTTGGACAATATCACCCACTCCGGCAACATCTTCGGGTGTTGTGTCTGGATCGCTACGCGCCATACGTACCGTAGTATCGCGCCAAGCGTTCACTGTACGCTCCATGCGAGTTTCCAAACAACTAGCTACTGTATTCGGTGCTTTAAAACACTCTAAAACATTTTGCCAAGTGACTTCTCCATCGCTTGCCGGAGAATTGAATGATTGCGGTTCCGTGGCTATGGCCACCACGACAGCGGTCGTCAGTATTAACGCCGAGTACTTAAAAACCATCGTAAATATGGTGATATGTCTTAACGTACACTGAAACCGCGAATAAAATGTACAACTAATAAAAAAAAAATAATCAAACAAACACAACCGAATGCCGAACCAAGCGATGTGCGGTCGTCGGATGGTAAACCTAAGTAATGATGGTTCACGAGAACGGTCCGATGACTTTATAGACGCCACTGCCGCCGATTGGCAACCCGGTCCAGCTACGGTGGCGGCAGACGTGACCAGTTTCTAGCGGAAGTAGCGCACGGGAGAGTGTGTATAGTAGTTGCAAGGATGGCGCGCATTATCGCTGTTATAATTTTGTTAAACGTGCAAATTCTGCAATGAACTCAGCCCCTTGTGATAACTAAGAATGGGATTCGCTCATATTTCTATCAGAAGAAAAAATTTAGTTAAAAGTTACATTTTATGAGATCAATTTTTTCACATTGTAACTTAATTGGGAAGTTGAGCACGTTTTTTGTTTCTCACATCAAAATCTGTGTTAAATTTCAGACTTTGGGTTGAGAGAGGATGTCAGCCTTTTTTTCATAGTTCTAATTCTGTATTTATTTATGAATAATGTAAACTATTAGTGAATGGCTTATGAGTAATACATGGTTTTTTTAGACGATATTAATAAAACTACAAGTTTATTGCAAAAATATTTGTCCACAACACAACTAACATTATTGAATGGGCCTTGGATTGTTTTAAAAGTGTAATACTAATAATAATAAATATTCATTCTTAGCTGAATTTCACAAAATAGACATTTGTCATTTAAGGTAAAATTAGGATTTATATCTGAAAATGACTATGTTTTAATACGCATAATATGAAGTTAACTTGCTTGTTATAATAATTGTTTTCATATAATAAGCGTGGCCTGTAAAAAAGAACGCGTTCATCTACAAAAAAAGATTGCATCCGTATACCCTCCTACGTCTATACACACACTACAATAATCACAAGAAACTAAGTTTTGTATACATAATTTATTCATATCAGAATTAACACAAGAGTAGTTGAGTTATTTCTATTCGACATTGTTAAAATAAAATTATCTCAGATATCAACAAATATTATTTCAAGTAAATTATTTCCCACTTTAATGAAGCTACTTATGATTGTTATTATAAACAGATAAAAAAATCAAATATGACATCAATCATATCACGAGATCTATAAATGTTTTTGAAACATTAGTAAGTTGTGGGTGGAAAAAAGAAATTGTGATTTCATATTTAGTTTAAAATACAAAATAAAAAAAAATATATATCAAAAAAAGAAAGTTTATTTTTTATGACATTCTAAGAACCAAAGTATTGATTTCAAGTACTCATAAAAATAATAATAATCAGTAATAAAAATTTTGTTAGTTTTTTTTTTTACTTTTATAAATTATTCGAAACTTAAGACAGATTGGGTTTGACATAAAGTACGACACACTATGTATTTTTTACAAAATTGTATTTCCAAAATAGAAGTTTAAAAAGCAAATTACTATTATACAATAGTATTACTAATAAAAACATTAAATTACTTTTTAGTTCAAAAGTGAACTTATAAGTATTATTATAATATTTCAAATTGTTTTATTTTTAAAACAATAATGTGTGCTACTTTGGCCTTTTCTTAACATTATATTGAGAAAGAATTTAAATACTTATTATAATTCAATACACCCTTTAATAGTGTTATTTAAAAAACCAGTCGTTAACCGAGAGCATTTAAAACCTGAAATTCATCATATACCTGATTTCTATATGAATAAAATAAAACAAAACATTTTGTTATAACAAGATTCATATTTCCAAAAAGGTATTTTTATAATTTATGTTTACAATAATAAAAAGTATGAAACTTATTAATTAAATATTAAAATTGTCATCCAAGCAATTTCAATAATGTAACTTCTGTAAATCGTAGAATGTTTAAAACGTAACGTTGTTATTCAAACAACAGTGTGTTATATCCTAAATTTTTATGTATTCATCACAGCAATTTTTAAAATAAGGAACAACTTATTAGTTAATCATCGTTGACACGTATTTAAAAATATTAAAATCAAACATCTACAATAAACAATAAAAATTTTGTCTTCAATATAGTTAATTTTATCTTAGTTATAATTCAAAGAAGTTAGCTGACTATACAATCAGTAATAATTTGATGGGAGGGAAAATATCAATCATACCCTTAAACGATAATTAACGTCATTTTTTGAAAATATTATGTGTTTTTTTCTCATTAAAGTATTTTAAAAGTCAACATTCACTCTAAGTACCTTAAAAATTAACTCTAGGTTAACCTCTGTACAGTGTGATTCTATACAGGCCACTCGATTACTCTTAAAATAATAATTATGTTAAAAAGATAATTTTTGGTATTTTATAGTTTCAAGTATTCTTTGATTTATCTAATACTAATTACTTTTGAAATTAGTTCTTTATACCTTATAAGAATGTCAAATAAATTTTTTTTAATGATATCATATATATTTCACTACAAAATAATAATAAAAAATAAAGCTTATTAAATAAAAAGTAGAAAAATTCAAGTTGAGAAAATCTAATAAAGAAAATGACTGGTTCATAACAACTTTTAATCTATTATTTCGGAAGTAATTACAATTTTAAATTATAGTCTGGAGGTGAGACGTGGGCATGACAATTTTTGTCATTATACATTTCTGAATTACATCTCTCCTCCTGTCAAGGTATAAAAATGTTAGTAACTTTCGAAGTACTGATTCAAAAGTTGTTATCAACCAGTTATTTCCTTTATCAGATCATTTTATATTTTATTAAATATTTAAATATGTATGTTTCTATTAAAAAAATTTAAAAAAAATTATTAAAAAAGTTGACATCCCTATAACTTATAAGGAATGATACTAAAATGTAACTAATAGCCGACTAATCAAGGATTACATGTAATAAAAAGAAATTAAACATTTTATTTCAATGTTATATTTATTTTGAGAGTAATTAAGTGATTTATGATAAAAAGGTTACCTAGTATATATAATTCAATAATTTTGTTAATTTTTATCACTATTATTTTAAAAGTTAAATGTATATTATTAAAACTCGTTTTTTGTAGAAATATTTGAAAATGTAAAATGTTATAATGAAGAAAACATTTTAGTATATTCAATAGAGAGTGGATGATTTTAATTATGTTTTGTTTTTTTAGTAGAAGAAATGTGACTGAGTTTAGATACTTAAGTTAAATTTAAGTAAATTAGAGTATAGTCAATATATAATTAAATTAAGTATCTTATATATATATATATATACAATTTATTAAAAAAAAATTGTGAATAACTAACATGATGACAAATAACGAAGACTGTGGTAAACAAAGAGAGTTGTTTTAGGTTGTAAGTGACTTAAACGGCCGTAATACTATAAAAATTGTCATAATAAAATGTTTAAAGAAAATAAGGCTATTATATAAAATGTTATGCTAATATAAAACCATAAATTATTATTAGTGTCTCATAAAATAAATATTCTGGACAATTTTATAGTGCTCTGTAAAATTATAACTATTTACCAGAAAGAAATATGCTACTGGTACTACAAATACAAATATTTTTAAATAGTTTTTATAACTTTATGAGTAATGGAAAACATTTTCAAAAATTAAAAAGTGATACATTATCACAAATCACATAATTAATAGAAAATAATAAAATATTCAGAGTTTATTTTTTGATTTTTTTTAGCATGATTTTTTAAATTTATTAACATTAAAGTATATTTATATTCACTCTTTATATCTTTTAAGTGTGTCTACTTTGTTATTTTAAATCACAATATACACATTTAATTGGCTCATTAAATAGACAATGAAGTAATTAAAAAAAAGACTGGTTTATAACAACTTTTGGAAGTTATGAACGTATTATAGTGAAGGTTGGAGGTGAGATATAGATATTTTTTTTTCATTACTAGTCATTTATCGGTTGCACTTTTGTTTTCGCATTAGTATAAAAATGTATCCCGGAAACAATAAAAAATGTTTATAACTGCATTTGACAAACATTTTATAATAAAATACAAATAAATTTACATAAATATCTTTTTTTCCAATTAGTGCAATTATATGAAATTAGTAAAAGTTTCATTCAACAGATTAATTTAACATACATTAATGATATTTACCTAATTTCGGTTTTTAAGACATTCTTGCTATTTTTTACACAGTTAAAATTAAGTACTTTCCATGATCAATAATGATAATTTAGCTGCATATATAATGATTAATTTTCTTACAGATGTATAATTTAATCGAATGCTTTAATATTGGCGAGAAATTACTTTCCCTATTCAATCACATGGGAAAGAAAATAATAATATTACAAATATGAATTTCTTATATTTAAGTTATAAACATAATATACTATGAAATTACATGCGCACGCCGAATAAATAGTATTGTTAGTCAATTGTTCTTAAATGAAAATAACACAATTTTTTATTAGGAGTAATTACAAATTACTTTTTCATTTTTCACTATTCAATCAGTTTATTATCAACTCTATCCTTTAAAAGTATTTAGTATTCAAGTGCTGATACACAAGACATTTTTGGGAAGTCATTTTAGTAATACTATTTAAGCTCTCCTTAAATAGAATTAGATGCTTAATTACTTATTGTCTAGTATAAAGTTTAGTACACTGTTATGACTATAAAACCGACAGGTTTATAAAAATTACGATTTTTATAAAGGTAGTTCTAGAAAATAATATTTAAATTTTAAGTGAATATTAATATTAATTGATTCAACATTTTTCGTTTGGAATGTAAAACTTTTAAACCAATAAACAGAATAATTCTTTTAACACAAGATACTCAATTTCTCTTAAAAAAATTATTTATTTTGTTAATTGTTTTCTAAATTTGTTAATTACATATGTATATCTGTTTATTTATTATAAAATACTTTTTTAGTTCATCCCTTATATTTTATAACTTCATTTTTAACAGATAATGATGTAATTGACAAAATGACTAGTTGATAGCAATTTTTAGACCAGAAGTTTGTTAATAATTTAAAGTAAAGACTCATGACGAGGAGTAAGTGCTGCTGTATTTATCACTAGTCATTTATTGACCGTACTCTTCGTCTTGTCTTGGTATAAAAATGAG